AAATTTTAAATATATGACAAATTAGTGGTAGAAATCATTTATGAATTTTTGTGTTACTTAAAAACTAGTCTGACGTCATAAGGGGCAATTGAACAAGAAGCTAGTAGCGATCCTGTTGCATAATTTTGAAGAAGATGAAAATATATCAAAATTGTCCATCAAACCCTGTTGCCCTGTTTCCTGTTCTTTGAACAAAAGTGACAGTAGTGACACTAGTGACAGCACAGCAGTCTATATTATTAATAAACACAATAAAATCATTAATAAAATATGTTAATCCTTACCTGACTGCTTTTATACCTCTGATTTCGCCAATATTAAAACGGTCGTCTCTTTAAAAATTCAATTCATGATCATAAAAATATCAATTTTCGGTAAAATTTGCGAAGTAGCTTTCACAAATCCCGTTTCACACATTCTGCTTTAATTTTAAGGGAAGGAAGATATTAAATGATTATTACTAAATAATAATTTTACTTAATAAAGGAATTCGAAGATTAAGGAAAATAACTTGTAGACTTGAAAATATTTTATGCGACAATGTCACTGACAGACTGACACTACTGTGTTGACAGAGCATCTTCTTCCTCTAATTTTTTTGCTTTACGCAATTACCTACACATAATTTCACTACAAGGTACCCCTTTATGACGTCACAACCGTTTTGAAATATTATAAAGAAATCAGTTTTAAATAATTATTTTAAAACTGTTCCAACACATTTCTCAATCTCTAAATTGTGCATACACACTAATTAGTACGTGTAGAATTATATTATCTACTTTTTGAAATTTGGTCAACAATCCTATTGGAACAGCTTAATTTGAAAATGTAGTAACTCTTAAAAGCAACAGGGCATGCTGCAGTGCCATGCTAAATGAAAATCGGCCTTAAAAATTTCATATTTGTTGGCCATATTTAGTATTTGGTCAATAAATAAACAAACCTCATATTTCCCATCGCCCAGGTGAAAATCTGTGATATACAAATTAGAGGTTTTATCGTCTACTTTCAGATGCCGTTTTCAGAGTTTAAATCGGACCATTTTTGATAAATCGCCATGTGCAAAAACTGCATCGGACAGAAACCATCTTGCGTTCGATTAAACTACATATTATTATCTGTCATCTTCTGCAAGATTGTTGTTCCAGCAAATGAACCGTTCGGGTCACAAAAAACCATTTTATAGGTTTTTTTATTCTCTACAAAAGTGCTGTAGAGAGTAAAACAAATCCAGTATTATTTAATCCATCATTATTTTTCGAGATGTTATAAAAAAAACTCTTCTGTAATCGATAAATGGTGAAATCACCGCAGATCACATTGCTTAAATTTAAATATTCAAGACTCGATTAATTTACAGCATACATGGGAGAAAGTTAGTATTCCTTGGTAAATATGCTTTATATTTGGCCGAATACGTATGTTTTCCATCACATTTTTGTTCATATTTAAGTTTACAATATTCGGGTAATTTAATACATCAGGCTGTTACAAATTCGCTTCCCACCCTTCACAGGGTCTAACGACACAGTAGTTCAAGAAACATAGAAATCTAAAAAAAAATTAGATAAATTTGGAACAAACACATTGAAGATTCATTTTTCACGACAAAATGTCTGGTTCAGGTTTTGAGGCAGTACAGTATTGGGGGCCATGAAGGCTTGCAAAAAACGTAATAAATTTTTCAGGGTCGTATTTAAAAGAAATGAAGTTGATGGTGGTCCTGGAGAGACGAAACGTTACGTATAAAAATTGATTATGGCATTCGATAGAGGGCAAAAAGTTGCCATGAGAAAATGTTTTTCTTTTTTTAGAAATGTGCCGCGGACATGTCAGCTGGACATGTCGTGAAAAGTGGACATGTCCTGAGGACACTTTTCAAGATTGAAAAGTTGTATGGGCATGCGCGGAATTATTTGTTGTATTTATAATTCCTGCAAAAAATTTTTGAGGTTGATACATGTAAAATTAAAGATATTTAGCCAGTTTCTTGTAATTTTGTTGGTAATTGTTTAACTGAAACTGACATTTTAAAAATATGTCCATATTTTATTATTTTTAGCAAAGTTAACTATTAGTAAATAGTAATCAGTATTTAATACATAAATAGTGACGCTAAAATCAACAGTTTGGTTATATTTTTCTGAATTGAGTAAAAATCATTATAAATGTAACTTCAGCTAAAAAACAATTTTTAAGAATTCCAGTAGGATGGAAAAACATTTAAATAAGTGTATTGGCTGTCCGGGGAAAATTAGAAACCAATTTATAAAAAAGTCTAAAGGTAGGTAAAATATATCGACACATATTCATTAGAAAAAAGTAATATTTTGCTTTGTGTACCCTCAAGCAGTAACCTGTGAAAACATGACGTCACTCATAGGTGCCTTATTAGATTCAAGGTCAAAAGTTCTTTTCCCAACATCTCCAGACATTTCATCGACATGTCCGTAACACTTTTCTGAAAACTGCCCATCTCTATCTTTTTTCAATATCACCTCAAACAAGGCTGGAATGAAACAAAAACGGATTTCCAAACTTTCGGTTTTTTTCAAATATTTCGAAAATTAATTTAGAGGCATAATGTTGGTCCCCGGATTACACAACTTTGCCCCCATTTAAGCTACTTCTTATCTCTTACCATTTCTGAGATCCCTGTAGTGAGAAGCAAATTTGTAACATTTGTATATGAAAAATTTATATTCCTTGGCAAATATTCGATGGCCAAATATGAATGTTTTCCATATTCGAGTATTTATGACTTTAATAAATGAACGGATACATGGATTAACAATTGATATTCCTTCGTATTCAATATACATGGCTGAATGCTTTGTGTCCGACATTAAATTGTATTGTTAGTGTTTTAAGTATTCAATATTTGGGCTATTTAATGCATTTATGTACGAGTATACAGGGTGAGTCATTAATAATGGTACACAGCTTAATGGCAGATTGTTGACGTCAAAATATAGCGATTGAGCCAAACATGTCTTAGTCAAATGTTGCTCCTTTTCGTTCTACAGGGTGTTTAAGTTGAAAAAATATTTTCGATTTTTTGCTATATTTTAAGTATGTATGGACCGATTGTTTTGAAAATTTGTAATTTAACGTTTGTTGAGGTGGCAAATGCGAATATGCAAACAGTGTTGGAGTCACGTCTAGGGGGCGCTAGTTATATTGTCCTATTAAAGTAAAAATATGTCTAACTTTTTGTATTTTACAATTTTGAATTTTTTAACTAGAAATTATTGAACTAAGTTCAGTTTTAAATAAAAAAAGGTATACTTGTTAGTAATCGATAAACTCAACCGTTTTCGAGATGCAGACTTTTTTTGTTTTTGAGATTCGGCGGGAATTAAATTAGAAAATTAGCAGGTCTTGAGATACCAAGCCTTAATTAAGAATTAAGACGAACATTACAGCAACTGAAAACTTTATTCAATGCATTTATTTAAATTTTCTCTGATGTTAAATAAATTTCTATGTCGCTTGATAATATGAACTGATTCTTGAATATTTGTCCACAATTGTTCTTGATTATTAATAATGTCTTTGTAAATTAGAGATTTAAGATAGTTCCAAAAGAAAAATCCAGCAGATATACATTAGGACTACGTACGGGCCAAGGTACATACTTCGCTACCGCGTCCAGTCCAACAGTGCGGAAAATTTCTATTAAGATATTCTTTTACTACTCAAGTATAGTGTGCTGTCAATTTATTATGTCAGTTACTACTTTGGAAAAAATACTTTTTTAATTTAATTCCCGCGAATCTCAAAAACTTAAAATGTCTGTATTTCGAAAACGGTTGAAGTTATCGATTTGTAACAAGTATACATTTTTTATTTAGAATTGAATGTAGTTCGATAATTTCTAGTTAAAAAATTCAAAATTGTAAAATACAAAAAGTTAGACGTTTACATCGATAGGACAGTATAATTAGCGCCCCCTAGATGTGACACCAACACTGTTTGCACATTCGTATTTGCCACCTCAAAAAACGTAAAACTATAAATTTTCAAAACAATCGGTCCATACGTACTTAAAATATAGCAAAATATCGAAAATATTTTTTCAACTTTAACACCTTGTAGAACAAAAAGGAGCAACAATTGACTAAGGCATGTTTGGCTCAATCGCTATATTTTGACGTTAACAATCTGCCATTAAGCTGTGAACCATTATTAATGACTCACCCTGTATATTTCTTGGTAAATATTCGATATATTTGGTCAAATATAAATGTGTCATCTTGATCAAAGGACCACAATAACTTCTCTAGCTTTTTCACATAATTCATCTAGTGTGGAACAGAATAGAAAAGGCCCGAATAATGAGTATCTCCGTTTACAAATAACTAATTTTAGAAATTTGTCTACACAAGTGTGGATCACTGAAATATGTTGTTTTTTAATAACGAAAACACAATAAATTAAAATACAGAATTTATTTCAGGCATCAGAAACATAAAAAATATATCAATGACATTTGTGATGAAATCTACGAGCAGAAAACAAAGAGGACAAGCCCGACAATAGTTTTATTTAGTCTATCAGAAACTTTTTATAAAGTAATTTTGTAAGCATAAAACTAAGGAATAAAAATAAACATATTTTTCTGTACTTACTTTTATTCTATTAAACTAATTACATCAAATTGTTTAAAACTAATGACGAAAATAATTACAAAAATGGATAATATGAAAAATACTTGTTTCCATCCACTCAAGTACAACATAAATTTTCGAATTAACCGACATCCTCCTGACAAACACATTACAATTAATTCTATTCCAAATGTCTTAAAATAAAAATGTTAGTGGCAAGCGGAGCAATCTAATAACCGTAACCGCCACTGTAGCCACCCCATTGATTATAACCCCCGTATCCTCCTTGGGGATATTGCCAATTTTGATACTGGTACTGATCGCCCTGGCCGTACTGCGAATAATTGTACTGACCTTGTTGAGATCCAGAATAAGGGTAAGAAGCCTGGTTGGAAGAAGTCCCATAATTGCCGTAACTTCCATAGGAGCTGGACTGCGATGAAGACTGTACTGTGCTTTTATCCTTTTTATTAGTTGATGGTACATCACTGAAATAATTAAAATCAAATTAGTTTACACTCAACAAAAAAAGAAAGAATGATCTATTCTCCTTTTCCAGTTATTTATTTATTTATAAAGGCTAGTGTTACATACACATAAGTGTTTACACGCGTCCAAAAAAAAAAAAGAATACACATAATGATAGCAATCAACTAACTGTTATAAACAACATATAATTAAAATAAACAGTTAATGTTGATAAGATTATTTCTGTTGCAGTTGAACTGTATTTTAAAAAGATTTTCACAGTAGAAAAACACGGAATTGTATAAGATGAAATGCAGGTTTTTCATTCCAAATTTAACTTTTTGCAAATCAAGTTTCATTTAACCTTCTGTAAATCAAATTCATAAGTTTGCTTAGCAAAGTTAACCTACAAATCAAATTCAACCTTTTGCAAATCAAATTCAACCATTTTCAAGTCAAATTCAGTTAGGGCTGTCAGGTGTCCCGTTTTAGGCGGGATTGTCCCAATTTTATTTGATTTGTCCCGCGTCCTATCTCGCTCTCAATCGGGACGCAAAAATTCCGACTTTCTGTTATGTCGCATAAAGACGTATTTATACAGAGCGCGCTGCTGGAATTTGCACTTTTTAGGTCTTTGCTAGTTTATTTAACTTTTAATTCCCGCGCCACATGGAGACAATTTGCGCCACCACTTACCACCACATAAGTAAGTAGATTTCATTATATTTGTAAATGAAGCAGATGCAGTTTTGGAAACTATGATTAATTATTTAAATGCGTGGTCTAACTATGGTGACACTAGATTAAAATCAATAGAAGTCATGACTTTGGAAAATGATTTTAATTTTGACAAAATTGTAGAAGTTGCCGAGAATTTTGAAATTGCAAGAAATCAGGATTTATTGTTTGAGGAATATTGAAAATTAAAATCTTTCTTGGCTGAACCCGATACCACTATTTAGAAATAATTTAATATAAATAATTTTGTTATGATCAAAAATGGGTGTATTTCCATACAAATAATATATGCCCAAACCTGGAAAAGATTTGCAATTTTGTTTTCTCCTTGCCTCATTCTAATGCCGCGTCTTCAAAACGCGTATTTAACTTTATGAATAAAGTGTGGAGAAAGAAGAGAAACTCCCTGTTAATGAAAACCGTAGAAGCCGAACTAATGGTTAAGTTTAATTTTAAAATGAATTTTTCAATTACCTGAAAACCGAGACAGGAAAAAAAATTTTGCAACTGGCGAAATCTAATGAAAAATATTTGCAATAATTTGTTAGTATGTACAATGTTAAACAATAAAGCAATATACATACTTTGTACAGTAAGCCTTTAATTTAACTTTCCTTCATGCCGACTCAAATGTCCCGCTTTTTAGTGTTGGAAACATGACAGCCTTAAATTCAGTTATTTGCAAATCAAATTCAACCTTCCCCAAATAAAATGCACGTTTGTAATTCAACTGTTTGTAAATCAAATTCATATGTTAGCATAGCAAATTTAACCTACAAATCAAATTCAGCTATTTGTGAATCAACAAATTCAACTTTTTGCAAATCAAATTCAATTTTTTTGCAAACCAAATTCGCCCATTTCTAACTCAAATTTAATTTTTTGCACATCAAAATCAACTATTTGCAAATCAAACTCAACCTTTTGCAAACCAAATTCACTCATTTCTAAATCAAATCCAGATGTTTGCAAATCAAATTCAATCTTTTGCAAGTCAAATTCAATTTTTTGCACATCAAAATCAACTATTTGCCAATCAAACTCAACCGTTTGCAAACCAAATTCACCCATTTCTAAATCAAATTCAGGTATTTGCAAATCAAATTCAGCTATTTCTGAATCAAATACAACTTTTTGCAAGTAAAATTCAATTTTTTGCACATCAAAATCAACTATTTGCGAATCAAGCTCAACCGTTTCCAAACCAAATTCAATCATTTCTAAATCAAATTCAAATGTTTGATTCAGCTATTTCTGAATCAAATTCAACTTTTTGTAAGTCAAAATCAATTTTTGCACATTAAAATCAACTACCTATTTGCAAATTAAACGCAACCTTTTGCAAACCAAATTCACCCATTTTTAAATCAAATTCAATGTTTTGCACATCAAAATTAACTATTTGCAAATCAAACTCAACCTTTTGCAAACCAATTTCACTCATTTCTAAATCAAAATCAACCATTTGCGACTCAAACTCAACCTTTTACAAACCAAATTCACCCATTGCTAAATCAAATTCATAAGTTGAAGAACTAAATTGAACCTTTTGCAAACCAAATGCACTTATTTGCAAATCAAATTCACATGTTTGTAGTTCAAGTACAATCATTTACAGGTTAAATTTGATTTACGAGTGGTTGAATTTGATCTATAAACAGGTGAATTTGGTTTGCAAAAAGTTTTAATTTGGTGTGTAAAATCTACAACATTTAAATATTCACATCAATATTTATAACTCAATGAAACACGCTAATCAACAAATAAATTATTCACCTCTTTGGTTCCTTCTTCTTCATGTTCTCCTTATTCTGTTTGATGAACTTTTGATATTGATCATAAGCAGTTTGTACCGATTGGATGTCCGTTCCGAAGTCTTCTAAGTACTCCAATTTCCTCTGAGCAAACAATACTTTTTGTTCCGAATCTGTTGATTCCTTGTCCAAAAATGAATCAATTATCTCTATTATTTCAGCTTCACCTACGTTCTCCTTCTGTAACGTAAGATCTATGAGTTGCAGGTACAGTCTAGGATTATTTGGATCCTTAGTAATGGCGGTCTTTAGTACTTCCTGGGCCTTTTCTAGATCTTTCAGTACTCTAAGGCAAAATCTGGAATATTTAATGGCTATATTGCTGGATATCATTTTGTTTTTGGAATTGTTAATGTAGTGTTCGTAAAGTTGCATGCACTTCTCGTTTTCACCTCTGCGTCGTTCTAAGTTGATCCTTCGGTAAGCGATTTGAAGTACGTTCGGAACGGATTTTTCTAAATTTACAAGGATTTCGGCCGCCCTGTTCCAGTTGTCCACGCTTTCCTCAAACATGGCCCACTGCAGATGCAAATTGGGCTTCTTTAAATGGTGAATAGTGCAAGCTCGTTCATAAACATCCCTGATTTTGGCCTGCAGTTCAGGATCCTTTAAACCCTCAAGATAATGCACAAACTGAAAGTTATAGTTAACATTAATTAATTTAAATGAAATCATTCAAACATTTTGGAGAAAACGTAACTAAAAATTTCTTGGACAAAACAATTAAATCAAAGAATACATACCTTCATCCAAAATTCCTCATATAAAGCACACGCGATGAGACATCTTTCAAATAAGACAATAATTCTAACCCTATCGCCCTGCTCCGTCTCATAGTCTAAATAATCCTGCCAGTTCTTGAGTTGACATCTTTCCAGGGGCTTAACATGAAAATATGGTCTCTTAATCTAAAAAAGAAAATGCATTTTACAACACTATTATTATTTTGAATACACTCTTCTTCTTTAATTCAGATCAGATGGCCCTTGCGGTGTCAGCAAAGTAATCAGGATTATTTTGTGTGCACATACACAAAATAACCTCTTAGGAAATCATCATTGTGAAATATTCTACAAGTCTGTATAATTAATCTCTATTTCTTGTGCCTTCATTCCCAATGTTATGCATGTAAAGTAATAGTCAGCTCACAGATTGAGAAACATCATACGACCGACTTATCAAGTGTTTTAGAGTTAGTTTAGATCACTTTTTCGATTAGCAAGTATAAACTGTGTTAAATAAGACAATGATGCAAAAATGTAAACTTCTACTCCTGAAGGATATTGTGACAAAATCATTATACGTGCTGGTGTACAGGATCTTATTTTCAGCCCATGGATGCACCACCACAGTACAGTATTTTTATATTTTGGTATAAATTAAAATCCTTGCTGCTGAAATATCAAAATTAATTGTGAAACATTGGTATTTACAATCCGAGATTTGGTTTCCAGAAAGTAACAGCAGAGTTGACATGGCAAGGTTTATCATGGCAACAAAGTTATTAATTACAGAATCGTTTATTGAAAATTAGTTGATTCGACAGACTAATATCAAAAAGCATGATCTAGCTAATTATGACAGTACTGATAATAAAAAATACTGTTCACTTGTGTCAGAGCAGATGATCTCATATACAGGGTGATTCAAAAAAACCGCTGGCCGACTTCTAGGGTAGGTAATACATAAAAAATTAAGACAAAAAGTCTAAATAAACAGGGCGTCAAAGTTGCTGTAAAATTAAACACTGTTTGCAACAATCCCAAAATGCCTGAACATTTCTATTGCAAATTTGCTATGAGTAGTTACCACCTTAAAACCAATGTTTGATGTACTGCTCAAAATTTTATGAGCAGCAGTATTGTAAAGATGGGGTCAACGTTTTAAAAATATTTTCTACGCCACTGCTAATTTTGTCACGGGCACTATTTTCGTGTAAAGTGTTCAATTGTCTATCGAATTGGTCTCTTGCAAAATTTTGATTAAAGCTACAGTTTTTGAGTAATTTAGATTTCAACTAATTTTGTCAGAATGAAATAACGTAAACAATAAACAACAAATTTAAGCATGAAAACGTAATGATAAAAATTGTATAACTGGAAATAATGTAAAATATCAGAGTAGGTTGAAAGGTTTGTTGAATTCGTTGCCGTAATTCATCAATCGAGTTTACTGGAGTTACGTAAATCAGCTCCTTAACATGACCCCAAGTGTGGAAATCCAGAGGATTTAAGTCCGGTGAACGGGCGGGCCACTGGATTGGACGTGGTGGTCCAATCCACCATCTAAGGCATATTAGGGTTATATTTTTAAAAAAGGGTCACATTGACCCCGTCTCTTCTACACTGCTTCTCATCAAACATTAGTCATAAGGTGTCTAATGTTCAGGCATTTTGGAATTATTGCAGACAATGTTTAATTTTACAGAAACTTTGACGCCCTGTATCTCGTTAAGGAGGCATTTGCGACCCTATGTTTATTACGACCTTTTGTTTTAATATTTTATGTATTATCTACCCTAGAAGTTTGTCAGTGGTTTTTTGAATCACCCTAAATATCACAAAAATCACCTATTTCTTGATCGAGGTTTAGAGGTTGGGCAATAATAATAATTAGAAAGGTAAGCAAGTTGGCATTGCCAAACTGACTTCTTGCTTGTGCCTGTGGCACTCGGACCAGCGTGCAGCCATGATGGACAATTTTCTAAAAATGTAAATAGGTAAATGTTCGTTCCCGGCATTCCGTCTTTATTTCAGGGAGAAAATGCAGATTTTCGGTGAGGGCCCTTTTTAAAAAGAGGAAATTACACAAGAAAAACTGAAAAAGTTAACTTCAAAATATGCCTATAAGATAAAGGAAGGACTGAGGGGCCCTCTATGCCACAATATATAAGAATAATAATAAAAACCCAACAAGATCTGCAGTTTCTGAAAAATTGTTTGGCTGGACAAGGCTGTGTTTTTAGACAGAACTGTACAGTAACAGACGTAATATCACTTTCAAACATATTTTTTTATTTTAATTCATTTTTTTGAACATACAAAAAGGTCTCAGTGGTGCTATTCATCTGTTTTGTTATATTCAAATAAATCATCCCGAATATTAAATTACATTGATGTAATTATGTGTTTTTTACAGATTTGTTTCCCCGATTAATAGATAATTGTTTAAAGCTCAGCATACTCAGTGAAAACATAGAAAGAATATTCAAACTTACCCCTTCTTCATAGTTCCACCGTGCTGTGACAGCATTTACAGTGGACTTGTGAATTTTTCTTCTGATAGAGACTATTCTCTCTCTTATGGATTTAGTTTCCTCGTCTGAACTGATAACCTTGGATTGGTCCTCGTCGCCAGGTGGGGCATCTGAATTATCTGTATTCGCGTCTGTCGTGACATCATGCTTTAACATGTGTCTTACCTCTTTGCGAAGTGCCAGAAACTCATCGACTTCCACCACCTTGTTCGGTGGATTTGAGGAAATATGTTCTTGAAAACTGAAATGGTTAGTAATGATTTTGTTAGCAATTTATTGAGATCAAATGTAAAAAAAAACTAATTACATAACAATTTAAAATGTAATGAAGCAGGGTGTATATTAAATGTTGCCTAAAAAATTTACACTCGCAGGTCTTCCAGCTAACTAAAAAAAAATTCCAGATTGATAGTTCCAGATTCCATAGTTTCTGTTTGTTAATCATCACTATTACATATATATTTTTTTCAATATTTCTTATCGTGTAAATATTTGACAAATTTTACAATGATCGCCATAAAATTACATCAAAAAGGGACATTTTTATTTATGACTTTAGAATAAACTATTCTTTCTAATAATTTTTGCTTATCTGAAAACCGAATATGAATGATTATACAGAATGAATCAAATTAGATTATCACTACAGTATTAGAAATATTGAAAAGCTTATATAGCCAAAGTAGTGCAAAATTTAATGATTACTTAGTAACATTCCACGAAAAAAAAATTAACCTGTGAATTTTATAAAAATAGTAAAAATCAAACTATAAATTTTAGTGGTAGCTTCGTTTTATCGTCCGACTAAAAAAGTTCTTGAACCTTCCGATGTAATTTTCTGTTTTTTTCTTTTTTTTAGTCAGTTTTAAATTGAAAAAAAGAAATTTGAAAAAATTCCATGAAAATTTGATGAATTCCGTAGTATGTCCAGACCTATGAAATACTCAAGATACTTCAAGGTTTTCTAGATCCTAATTGTAGGTTTAGATATTTGTAATAAAAATCTGAGCAATGTTGGAATCTTAGGAATGTGCATTTTTATTTTTATAGATTAAATTATAAATAGCCAAAAAATAATTAATGTATACAATACACATATAATAATTATTATTAAATTCACTACTCATTTTATTCAAATGTATTCAAAGGATCATGAAAAATAAGAAAGTGTATAAAACTGTAAAGTCTTTGGTTGGAATATTCTGTGAAAGCTTTACTGATACCGATGACTGAAAAAGATATCAACCTTAAACAATTTTCTCTTCTTAACCTTCCAAATCTTAAACAAATTGGTTATAGGAAGCAACAATCTATAGAATGCCGTAACAACAAATCAAGTTTCAAAGATGAAATATATAAATTTGTAAATGAAACAATAATAATACATATTTAATAGTGAAAGTAATTTTAATGCAATTAATTACTTTCAGTAGATCAAGATATTTCCTAATTTTAAACTGTACAGGGTTCATAGTTCAAAAATAATAAAGAATTCCCCGACTTTTCCAGGTTTACAAACTTAATATAGTTTGAATTATGTACATTTTTTTAACCTAAAGCTAAAGTTAGAAAATAATAAAATAAAGGGGATAGCCACTGCGATGAGTCAAAAAATATATATTTTTTTGCTTTAATTTAAAGTTTATACCTTCAAAAATATATGTATAAAATTTTGAAAATTGACAGTTATAGTCATTTTAGTGAGGCAGGTGTAGACGCCATAAATCATCGGTGCTCTAGGGACAGACAAAGAATTGCGTGCAAAAGGGGCAATAAAATAAAAAACAATGCCAAAAACACCACTGGAGATTTTATAGTAAGAAAAATGGTCCGAAAACTTTAAAACGCATTTAATATCAACCGATTTTGAATTTCTGTTTTTTTTTTTGTTTTATTCGTCTTTGCAATGGCTAAGGTTAAGCATAGCCGATTTTGAAAATTTCGATTATTACTATTTTTTAAAATGCATTGCAAATTTTGAAAATTTGCTATTTTTTTTTTCAAAATTTGGATTGCAAATTTATTATGCAAAATCTATTGAACCAATTTTTTAAAGACCCCAAAAAAATTCCCTAAAAAGTAATTTTTTTAACCCCATTTTTAGCAATTTTTTCGATTTTTACAATAATAATCACGATTCATTCGATTTGTAACTAGTCATATTTTGTAAAAAATTTAAATACAAAAATTTTTTTCCTCTTCCATTTTCGCCTAAAATCAACTGATATATAATTAAATAGTAAGAAAAATTTGAAATTTTTCGAGGTTTTTTAACAAGCCCACATTTTTTTATGTAGAAAAATTTTCATTTCGAGTGATATTTGAAAGCCGAAAAGACAAAAATCTTCATGGATATACGATTCACCCAAATATGGACTTTTTGAAACAAATACCGTCTGGACTATAGGAACTTATGGCCCGCTTGAAGCCCAGATCTCACAACTTTAGATTTTTATCATATCAAAAACATATTTAAACATCCTCTCCACACAGTTGAAGTAACAATTGAAGAGGTGGAGGTAGCAATTGAACACAAAATAAACATTAAAGCACCAAATAAACTTGAACGTGGTTTTGAGTGCATGAAGCGCAAATTAAATTTATGTTTGGAAACCGAAGGTGGTCATTTTGAACATCTATTACAAATTTGATTAATATAATGAGTTTTTGTTAGCTGAGTAAATAACTTTGTATTTATATTAGCATTATAAGGTAAATTAATTTACGTATAATTTATATTTAAATGTTGAAAAAAAAAATTAATAAAACACTGGAACTTTTTGTATTTTATTAACATTATTTTCATTATTTCTGAATGAAAGTGGACATACCTATATTTTTTTAAGGACAACCTTCTTCAATCAAAACATACTTTTTCAATATAGAATGGGATAAAAATATCTTAGAGTATGATTGTTTTTTTGTAAGTAAAAATGTAAAAAAATATTTTTTTCTACTGAAAAATAAACACATTTTGCAGATTAAAGTTCAGTGTTGTTTGTAATGAAATGTAATATGTACTCCACTGGATTATCCTGTCTTTAGGGAATTTTGTGTTAACCACTGCTTCCAGTGTAAGTTTGTTTGCGGTCAAGTGGGACTCGGGCATTTATGAAAACACTACCTACATCTTTTAAAATGTAACTTCACCAAGAAAAATTATAATTCAAATTTGTAACAAAATGTGTTAAGTACATACTTTAATTTTTTTTTACCTAAAATTCTAAAATTTCAAAATTTTGTAGGGGTCCTTTGAAAATTTCTAATCGTGTGAAATTTCACTGCCTCACAACACTATTACTGACAGACGTTTTAAAAGTGAAACAAAACTTTTATTGCACAGGCTTGGCTTTTACAAAAACCAATTTTTTACACTGAAGATGTAAAAAAACTGTCACTTTTGGCACGATCGTTGAAAAAAAAAATATTTATAATCATCGATCACTTACTTATCGAAATGTGTGGTGTAACCTTGGGTGGGAGTGGCCAATAGTCTGTCGTAGATGGCTGTGACCCTCTGCAACCGTTTAGCTTCCGTTTCCCATTTGATGTAGGAATCCCACAACCGGTCCGATCTGAATTCCAAACCGCACGCGGAGAGGGCCCTTTCGAACTGCGACCTAACGTAATCCTCATCATCGGGTCTAGACGTTTTTACGTAAGTAAGGTAGTGGATCCAAAGGTCAACAGACAGCGGAATCGCTTTCAACCCTCGCTCGAATACCTTTTACAATTCACAATTAGAACATATCGATTTAAACACAGATGATGTGTATTACACTGCTCGATAAGGATTAGTGAAATGTTTTCTTGCTAGCAGCAAATAAATACACACCAACTGATTGATATACCTGAAAAAATATCCGTTATATATTAAGTGAGACTGATTTAATATATGAAAAACCTATCACGAGGAAGTATTTGTTTCCTTACATTTGGGGCTGGGATAATACCATCCAGCGATGCAGGTTCGCTGATCTTAGCTCAGTCATGTCTCCGACTCATGGTTGATTTTTACATTATCACTACATTATGCTTTTAAGAAAAGTATTCATTGCATATATATATCAAAGCTATTTGTTTTAAAATATAACATACAACTTAAATAACATATAAATAACATAACAGGTTTACAATAATAGTAATAATATTTGAATTCACTACTGTATAACAATCGGTAAATAGCAGCCACCGGCACGCCGAGCTGTAGGGATTGCAAAATAATTATGTGAGTGAATAAAGCATTCCACGAATCACTACTTCAAAATTATACCAACCTCCTCGCATTTCTTTTTGTTCCCCTTGCGCTTCTCATAATCCGCGTATTTCCTCCAGTAACCGTAGCAATATGGATAGTGGGACAAAAATGCATCGTACGCTTCTCGAGCTGCCTCCATATCGTTCTAAAAAAAAAAAAGAAAAAGAAACAATGTATTTATCAAATTAAACACAAATATTGAGTCGTTACCTCCTGGTCGACATATTGCAACAGGTACGTCCACCCAGTAAAGTCTGTTGGATCATCATTAACGGCTTTCCAATATTTATCTAGCTCTGGCAATTTTTTTGGTTTAGCGGGTTTCTCTTCTTTTTCTTTTTCAGCAACTGATTCAAGAGAGGGTTTTTTTGTCGGTACCTCATTTTCTGAAGTAGGAGAGCCCGGGTCGTAATCACCTTCATCTAATTTCCGTTTAACTCCCTCTTTCTTAGATTCATTTTTTACAGATGGTAATTCATCTTCAGAGACAACCTTGAAAATGATAAATTTACAGGCGAAATTGCATACATAAGATTTATTTGGATATTTTGCCAACGCCTTAAAAATGTAAATGTATTTATTTACTCTCTTAATTTATTTGGACCTCAACACTATGAATTCAATTTCAAATGTAAAAGAATTATATACAGAAATCAATAAGATTTTTGTCAAGAGAGGTCTGTAGTTACAAATCTTGGATTTTACCGTTATATTGAAAACAATAAAAATTAACTGCTAGATCCAAGCAGATTTTAGTAAAATTTTTATAAAATGACAATAGATATTTATTATACAAGGGAAAAAAGTACTAGATTTTAGCTCGAAGTTGTGTTGAGACAAAAAACCGAGAGGTAAAATCTACTTTTTTCCCATGTTTAATACACTATTTTTTTCTGTGATGGGAAAAACAACGATTTAATATTAAAAAAACATTATTACAATATATTAGTCGCTAAAGTTTTAAATTGGTAGGCTGTTATACTTATAGCGACAATTACATCTGCGTTGCTAAGGAAACCTTTAAAGTAATCAAATATCTGTCAATTTAATTCTGTGATTTGATTTAAAAATTGCAAACTTAGTGGTTGTTTAGTAGTTATTTTGAATAATATAAAGTTAAAAAATGTCTGATTCCGAGTTTTCTCCGACTCCACCGGATTTAGTAGAAGCAGCGAAAGTAGCGTCACAAAAATTATTTTAAATATCTACCTTTACTTATGTATACTGTATATATTGGGGAAAAAAGTACTCACTTTTTTCCCGGGGAAAAAGGAAATTTCATAAAAACTGACATTTTGTTACCTGTCAACAGAGATAAAATGTCAAACTTTTGTCCCGTTACAGAAAAAAAGTTTTTTATTTTTAATTAGTGTAGTAAAAACAAAGTAGGTTCTTTATACATGGAGCGCAAATGGCTCCATCTGTAGTGCTGAACTGTGCCCACAGAGGGCGAAACACAATGTTTTAATTGCCACTATTGCGAGAAATAACTACTTCACAGGCTATACGCCTCGACCGGCATTGAATTATACTCGCAACAGCTAGTGCAACAGCTAGGATCTTGTACAATGTATTTCCTTGTCGTGAGAATACGGCCACATAACGGCTGAATCGGTCGTCAGTTGTCTCATCTATGACACACTGATGAGGACTAATAAGTCTGAAACCAGTCTGTGCCTGGTGGGTTAAACTGACGAACGATCCTAACTGTTGCTCTAGGTGTTGCGAGTATAATTCAATATCGGTCGGGGCATATAGCCAGTGGAGTAGTTGTTTCTCGCAACACTGGCAATTAAAAGTAGGTTCTTGTTTATTCAACAAAATTGAGGTGACATGAGGAGTTCGATTCTTGATGTGAGAGAACAGAATGCTCCCTAGGGGACGTTCCCTCATTTCGCTCTACTACTGTTCTATCACAAAATTCATACTGTATGCTCGACACAAACGGATCAAGCCACGAAAGTGAAGAACAAGGAACAATGTTATCAAATGTACTGACCAATCAGAAAGCAGGTGGAATGAAAACTAGTGATCACTAGTCATCAACTAACTAGTCATGAAATAAGTGCTACTTTGTTTAGTGTTATTGTTTCTTGTTTGTCAATTGTCTCTAGAGACAGTCTGGGTTTAGTTTATTCTATATTTCTTTTCTTCTTTCGGATTTTTAGCAGTTCCTCACCTTCATCAAGATTGTTGATTATTTCAACCCACAATACTATATTAGGCAAATTCATGTTATTCTAAGTAAATGTACTAACACAGATGTTATTGCTATAGATACTTAACAACAATCCGTGTACAATCTTATAAGTAAACACAAATTATACGAGCGCTTCCTCGAAGTTCTCGAAGGATATCATCACAAAGTAATAAGTAGAGATATCACAGATAGTCCAGTCGGCAGAGGCCGAAAAGTTACTGTTGGTGACATTTCTTTGATAACTCGGTAATAACTACACAGGAATACTTTAAATGATGAGTACAATAACAGGCTAATTTGCTGACAAAGTATTTTATCAGGAAAAAAGTTATTAACAATTTAATCGTGAAAAAATTTTTTTTTAGTAGTTTTCTAAATAACTCAGCGAGATGTGACTTTGTACAAAAAAATGCTTAGGACATGATTTTGTTCGTAATAAAAATAGCAACAAAATGGCGGTGGTCTGATTACGAAATTTGCAATAACAATGCCGCGAGTTGCTGTAAAAATGTTAATTATAAACTTGTGATAAAACTTTCGAAAACTATAGTTCAATATATATAAAATAATGAAAAAACAGCCGAAAATCAGGAGAGCAAAACTTTTTGTTCTATAAGGTTTTATACATCCATCGGCATCTGAAACTCGAAACTTTGCCAAATTTGTTTGAAGTTTTGCTGACACTTGAAATTTGGTATACACATAGTGTAAATATGCAGAAACCAAAAGCAATTTGCAAAATTCAATTATCTTCATTTTTGCAGCTTTGGTAAGGTTTTATACGTCACCCTAGTTTTATGTCACCGTTTTTTTAATTTTTGGAAAAATATACATGTATATTTATAAAATATTCCATCACGGTAGATTAACCAGCACAATTACCTACAATAATTAAAAAAAAAATTATTTTCTTCGTTTAGATCCTAAGCTACTTAACACTTTGCGCCTGTTAGCCGTAGTCGTACATTATTCAACATATAAAAAAAAATCGTATGTGTGGGGTAAACCTTTAACTTTTCATTTTCAAGCACGAGCCCCGCTCTTCGGCGCTTGTATACTATTAGAAATATGCAATAGTAAATTTAAACAATTGTTTACTTAAAGTTAAAGGTTTACCCCACACGTACGTTTTTGTTTTATGTTGATATGTTGAATAATGTACGAGTACGGCTAACAGGCACAAAATGTTAAGTAGCTTAGGATCTAAACGATGAAAATATATATTTTTTTAAATTGTAGGTAATTGTGCTGGCTAATCTACCGTAATGGAATATTTTATAAATATACATAAATATACGTCCAAAAATTTAAAAAACGGTGACGTATAAAACCTTACCAAAACTGCAAAAATGAAGATACTTGAATTTTGCAAATTGCTTTTGGTTTCTGCATATTTACACTATGTGTGTACCAAATTTCAAGTGTCAGCAAAGCTTCGAACAAATTTGGCATAGTTTCGAGTTTCAGATGCCGATGCCTCATAGAACAAAAAGTTTTGCTCTCCTGATTTTCGGCTTTTTTTCATTTTTGTATATATATTGAACTATAGTTTTCGAAAGTTTTATCACAAGTTTATAATTAACATTTTTACAGCAACTTTAAAAAATTGACGTTTTATACCGTTTTTTCAATCTCACGGCTTTGTTATTACAGATTTCATAATCGAACCACCGCCATTTTGTAGCTATTTTTGTTACGAACAAAATCATGTGCTAAGCATTTTTTCGTACAAAGTCATCCCGCTGAGTTGTTTAAAGAAAACTACTAAAAAAAAAAAAATTTCACTATTAAATTGTTAATAACTTTTTTGCCTGATAAAATACTGTCAGCAAATTATCCTGTTATTGTACTCATCATTTAAAGTAGGCCTGTGTAGTTATTTCCGGGTTATCAAGGTTTGACACAGGCGAACCTCTACCAACTGGACTAAGATAGATTGTGGAATTCGTAATTTGAAGCATGTCATAAAATATGGGATTAGGCTTAACGATCCCTGCCTGTTCTCCCGAAAATATCAGTAGAAGCAACAGGGAACAATTCTTCTATCATTGCTCAATAAAACACCATACAAGAATACTGATTAATGAGTTTTAGAAGAGATTCGCCCCCTTTCTCTCATTCCTTCTACTCCCTATAATTCAAGAATAAAATCCGTGGGGTCCTCCAAAGCTCTTCTTTTTTTTTAAGGCTAGAAATCGAATATTGAGCTTTCTGGTAATAAATATACTGATAAGTTTAATTCATGTTTTGTTAATATTTGCTTATTTTATAAATTACATTGGAATAAAATGACCTCTTAAAATTAAGTTCTTTGTGAAATGAGTTTTAGTTTTTTTTCTTTTTCTATTTATTGGACTGAGCAGTAAGCTTATTTTAGCCTAAAATGGTAATACATAGTTTAAATAACTAGATGATGATGACAGTTACAGTGTACGATAATTCAATTAACAAAGAAATCTAAATAAAAAATTTAGATAAATTTGGAACGAATACACTGAAGATGAATTTTTCGAGATAAAACGTCTGAATCTGGTTCGGGCTGAAGCAGTACAGTATTGGGGATCATGAAGGCTTGCAAGTTGATGATGGTCCTGGAGAGACGAAACGTTACATATAAAAATTGATTATGCCATTCGATAGAGGACAAAAAGTGGCCATGAGAAAGTGTTCTTCTTTTTTCAGTATCACTGCAAGTAAGGCTGAAATGAAACAAAACCGGATTTCCAAAATTTTTTCAAATATTCAAATATTTCGAAAACTAATCATGTTAGCCTTGATTTTTTAGAGGCATAATGTTGGTCCCCTGATTACGCAACTTTGCCCCTATTTAAGCTAGTTTGTATCTCCTACCGTTTTCGAGATCCCTGTAGTGAGAAGCGAATTTGTAACAGCCTGTATACAAACCGTTTTTAATTTATATAATTCCTAAAATTTTAACTTATTGTAGTGTCAACGTTTAATGGGTCAACATATACCTGTATATAACTTTTATATTTTATATAATCGTATTTCCTACGTTTAGTCTAGCGACATATTTTTGTGGCAGATTTCAGGCTTATCGTAATGGGATATCTCCATAAGTTAAATAAATATATATATATTCAACCAAAAAAAAAAAAAGAAAAAAGTTACATACTTCCGTATCTGCTGGCAATTCGGCTCTTTTGGGACCAGGCAATTCTTCATCAGAGACTTCTTCTGCCTCAGGAACTTTAACAACAGGTACTCCTGGCAATTCATCTTCTGATATATTTTCTGCATCTGGATCTCCATTCTAAAAAAATATGTAGAAAGTAAAGTAAACAAGCATTGTATCAATCATGTTTGATGATGTTTATCAATGATGTTTATCAATGAATAAACAAACCTGTTTGCCATCCTTTTCCTTTTTATCTTTAATGGTGTCCTCATTTTCTTCTTCCGTGTCTAAAATGCTTTCTTCCTGATCTTTTGATTTATCTTCCAAAGCATCAAATATTTCCTTGACTTCCATAGCATCTGTATCTTTATCTTCCGTTTTTTGAGAAATTTTACTCTGCTCCTCAGATTTTTTATCACACTGTTCTTTATTTTGTCCTTGAGCCGCAGTTTCTTCTACTTCATCGCTATGTTTCTCAGAATCATAAAAATCTTCATCCAGTAATGTTATTTTGTCATCGCTTTCCATTGCCTCATCCGAGGTTTTGCTCTGTTCTACATCAGATACTTTAATTTGCACTTTTTCAGTTTCCACTTTTTCAGTTTCTGTACTTATTGACTCCAAATTAAGTTTTGTTGAATCATCTGCATCATCTTCATTAGAAGAGTCTGTTTTGTCTTTAACTACATCATTCTGTTCCTCAACCAATGGATTACTTTTTTCTTCATCTATTTCCATTACTGTGTCTTCTGAAATGTCTATCTTTTCTTTTTCGGATGTTTCATTATCTACTTCTGGTGTTTCCAGCATGTCAACATCATTTAAAATCTACATAAGTAAAAAATATGTATATTAGTACATATTATTAGATACACATGACAAGAGGGTCAGTCTGACTATTCACACTGCGCAGAATTTTAAGGAATATTGGGCCATTTGCGACCAGGGAGCGACAAAATCGATCAGATTTAAAAACATAGGCTTCAAAGAGGTAATCTGATAAACTGATATAATAAATGTAATAATATATAATAATTATGATAAATATGTATCTTGTCAAATCTCAAGGTTCAGAACATCAAAATTTGTGGGTAAATGTAAGCCTCATTAGATTTAATATGTAATGGATCTAATGTGTGTTATTAGAAGCAAGTCCAATATATATAGTTAGCTTTAATTTTCTCATGTTCAGAGTTAGAGTTAACTACTTAACAGATTTCCCAAAAATTTATTTGGTTTGGGTTTAGACATCTCTCTAACCTCAATAATGGCAAATCATACTCTCAAGTACCTTAACCGTTAAGCCTACATATATCTCACAAAAATTACATGCATTAAAAAGTAATAAAAATAGATTTATCTAACTTGTAAATTATACCCTTGGATATATCATTCCTAAATTAATAGTTAGTGTTCAGCCACGCTTAAAAGTTATAAAAAGTTAAACTAATAGACCAGTATGACAAAATATACTTAAGGAGGTATATCGGGTTTACTCAAATGCACAGATGTACTTGAAACTTATATAGCGTATTAGCCAGTGCTCCCTCTGCGCGTCATATTTTTTTGAAATTTTTTTTGTATCTACACTTTGAGATATTGTTGTTGAAAGTTGTTCATTTTAACATAGGTTTATATGGCGAAGATGGACGGTGTGGCTCTTTTTTGCCCATAATTGAGAAAAAAATGTAGAAATTGTGAAACAAAACTTTTCCATAGAAAGTATTATCTTATTTTTGATGTAAAACTAATGTAAGTTTTGAACATAGTACAGCTGTATTAATTAGAAACAGAAACCAATAATTGCATTTCTGTCTGACTTGAGGATTAATGTGGCAACGTCGCAATCAGCTGACAGCAAGGAGGGAATACATTTGAAAGACTTGATAAAAACGAAATTGATTTCAAACATATACATTTTTCCTAAATCCCATGTACATTGTTATCAACAATAAATTATCCACAACAGATGATTTTTTGTAATGTTTTTAAAAAACTAGATTAATTAAAAAAGACTAGGAAGCTGTGATATATTTATTGGAATAAAAAATACAGTTGATAAATCCTTTTAATATATTTAATGGTTTATAAAAACATCGTAATCATTACCCAGCAATATTTAGGGTTACATAAAGTTTTCTTTACTTGATTAATATAATTAGTAATACTTGAGATAAAAGCATTTGTACGGAATAACAAAGGAACATAAATATTTCTCAGCAAACTTTATATCTAAAAAATTAGTTATAGTTGCAAAACTTTTGTAACATTACTAAAATAGAGATTAAAAACACGAACAGTGAGTAATAATGTAATTTCTATCACAGAACCTTCAAAATTGCATCCAACATTTTCTTTGACTTGGACGAGAGATGGGCGCGAGTGTCATTTCATTTCTTTAGAACTAAATTAACATAATTCTCGTTGTTTTACCAGTTCACATGATTTACGGATTTTAAATAAAGGATACAAATCTTCGCGAGGATAATACGATATATTTGCTATATATAATAATTATATTGTACAGAATTTATACAATACATTTTTGAACGCGTACGCATCTTTACCTGAACTTGACACGCAATATCTCCAATGTCCGTGGTCTGTAGGTTCGCAGTGTGTACAACTACTAGTTAATTATTAGCGCTGTTGCCACATCTACATAGTCATTATGCGTTTATTAAATATAATTTAAAACTACTTAAAAATGATACTTTTATGTTGTTAATTAGTCAATATGTATGCTATGTGCATATGAGTAGATTTCTTTGCTATATAGATAATGTTTATCGCAAATAATTTCAATAGAATTTAATTTTTTCAAATTGGCAACGGGTTTTAGTCCCATAAGAAAAGCATAGGACCCCCACTGCGCTCCTCACTTTCCTCGGACCCCGATATACCAAATCGGATCAAACCAGGTTGACTTCATTTCTAGCAAAAATTTCAAACCTTAGTTAACCGTGTTAGTAGTTTTCATACATATAATACTTAATATCATAATTAAAAATGAATCATTAACAGAAAATCATTTATGGTAGTTTTGGTACATTACATACTCTAATTTCTGTTTACATTGCACTTCTGACAATCAAAGGTTTAGTACATCGTATTTAACGCTCTACTATTAAGAACACTTGGAAAAAATGATAGATTGAAAGTAGAAAATTGAACAGCAGTAAGAAATTTAAGAATAGATATTAATATTCAAAAAATTATATAAAAGTATACTCACAAAAGTTATATTATCATCATTCTCTTTAATAATTTCACCATTGTTTTTGCCACCATTTAATTCTGAATTTTTTTCACTTTCTTGCTCGGTCTCCTTAGAAGAGCTGTTCACGTTACTTTTATTTTCCAGTGACTCCTCACTTTCCTCAGGGGTTTCCAACAGTTTTTCCTCCAATTCTTTTTCATCTTTGTCTTCAGCACATTCCTCCTTACTTTCAGACTCAGTTTTTTCATCTCTTACAGTCTCTTCTTCATCGTCTGATACTTCAACTTCCATAAGGACAACCTTCTTTCGTGTTCTCCGTGTAGCAGGTTTTGAAGCTGCTTTACTTGGTGGAGTTGATACAACTTTTCCAGAACGTGTCCTTCTTACTAATAACAATGAAAAAATAATATAAAGATAATTAAAAGAAATTAAAAAATTTAGGTACCATTAGTAACAACTTCTTTGTCATCCATTGTAACGTATTCCACCTAATAAAAACTTAAAATAGTGGAGAACTTCTTATCTTTTTAATTAATGAAAATACTGGTACATCAAATAAACCACTGTATTAATTGCAACAACACTAAATGTTAAAAAGACACAACTACAGCAAAACCTCCTTCTTACACTATAAGATGGCCGACTAAAAACATTTTTTTAGCGTTGTGCTGGGCTGGAGTGCGTTCAAGGATCAAGCCATGTTCGAGCAGTAATTAACCAAAAGTTAACTTAGCTGATTTCAGATACAGAGTCTGAAACTCTTAGATCATGAAATTTAAACATACCTTCTGCACTAACCAAGGAGACATTTAACTCTTCGCTTGCACTGCCTTATTACTGTTTCAAAAAGCAACCAAGCATATTGATTATTATATCTTATCTATGATTTGATTCTGAGCCTAGTTCTGCACATTTAATATGTGAAGCGTTTTTAATTTTCTTTTCTAAATTACATTTCTGCGCGTCTACGCATGTTCAATTACGTCACATTATAGAAAACAGTAAATTCACTGCCCATCTAATCTGTTTATGTGTTTATAAAAATGGACCCTAGTATTTTTTATGTCGCTTTAAGTGACTGCGCAGAGACCACGCGCCAGTAGGGGAACAAACCGGCAAGCTAAGCTGAGCTTGTTGGTGGACTGGGGCTGGACTTACTATTGCGCATAGACCACGCGTCCCTTTACTGGACTCTTAGAGCAGTGGGGTTGTGGTCTACAAAAGAGGGGTAGTGAACCAGAAGAGGCTCCTCTGACGGTGGGGGCCAGCCAGGGCAAGAGAAGGACCCGCAAAGTAGTGATGGGCATAATCGACCAATTTTGATAATCGAGTTATCGGTAATCGAGTACTTCTAATAATCGAGTGATCACTCGAGATACGAGATATTGGCCGTTTTCATCCCAGCGGCGCACAAATATGTTTGTATTAGTCATATATTACTTATAAGCGTAGCTAAAAAAAAAAAAAACTCACGCACTTCAAAACCTAACCACTTTTTCGTTTTATTCTAAAAAAAAAAGGTTACGCAATCAGTGACATTTTGCAGTATGCACTTTCCCCCTCCTGCCCGCTAACCTTTTCTGTTTCAGAGACAGCCAGGATCAAGAAACGAAGACAACGACACACACACACACATACACACCCCCCATACCCTCCTTAACCCTCCCCTCCCGCGCTAGCCTAAGGGCCACCTTAGCAAAGCGCATCCCAGGCTGCATAGCCGCACTACCCTACCCAACCATACCACACATAAACATGACACTACCCCCGGGGTTTACACAGACGAGCCGGCGAAGCAAGAAGAGCGCCAGAAGAAAGGGCCCTAGCCGGCGGGGCCCAGCCAGGACAAAAGGAGGTCCCACAAAGCGCCTACACCGGCCGCATTTGCGGTCGGGGTAGACGACGGATGGGGCCCACCTACGAAGGCTGTCCAGGCCTACACGAGATGAGGCAGGATAAAGAGGGATAATCCCCCTCGATCCCAAATCATTGAGGCCAATTTCTAGCCATAGAATAATGGCGTTTCCTGTATTCATCAAACAACTATAATAAAAATATTTTTCGTTTACTTAAATTGGTATTAATTAGTGTAGTAAAGTAGTGTACCTATTTTAAATAAAGATACTTGATCAATTTAACTAGATATAAGATTGTTTTAAAATAATCGTGTTATTGATTTAAGTAGATTGAAATTTCCATTCGATTTATTGAAGTAAATATTAATTAATTAATTAATTAGCTATTGTAGGGTAGAATTTATATATTTCCTTATTGTGATAGATTTGCTGGCCGATTCAAAATCTCAGTACTCAAAAACTTTTACCTACTCTTGTTCACCACTTACCCGATATGCCCAAGGAACACGCCTAAATTCTGATTTGATAATTCGTTGTCAAAAAGGTTATTTTCATTCCATACACATAAAAGTGCACATAAATTCGCAGTTTTTCACTTTAAAACCACAAAAATCATTATTCTTTCTCTATGTAAAACAAAATGTTTTCACTTCAAAATCAAAATCAGGTATGTCAATCAATTTTTTCAATCTTGAATCGGTTTTATTAATTTGTTTTAGGCATTTGCAACACTCACGCAATTCTCAGCTAAAATAACAACAAGGCATAACGTTTATTTGAAGAAAAAATCTGAAAAAGCTAACCAATCAAAAAATATACTTTGCATAGACAGTTTTGTGGAAGCAGTAAAGAACTGTGATTTTTCTTTTGCTCGACATCTGAACACAAAGAAATTATTTGATAATCATTTTTTAAACAATTTTAAAATCTCCTATGTATCCAACGAAAGTTTCTTTGAAAATAAGCATGGTTTTTCAGAGAAGGATTTGAAAAATTGTGTCCCTACAATAGTAATTAAAGATAAGAAAATATTACACGTCCCTTATGGCTTTTATCAGAAATTAGTATCTGGGATATTAAATAGTAATCACTATACTTTTAATATACAATTCAGAGGCTTTAAGACTGAACGAAGTGTAAAAGCTGAAATACAACGTAATCCGTCTTTAGCAACTAGAGTTAAACATGCATTTGGACTTCAATCCCCAGAAAACTTAGAAAACAAGTTGGGGGGCAACACCACCACAGCTAATGCAGGGAAATTAAAACAAATGTTAATTACCGATGATACTCTAAATGAAAGTGAAAAGCAACGGATAAAAATTGCTTTTGCTGAAGGCTATCTACTTGGAAACAATTCAAATTCAAGAGCTGGAAAATCTTCAAAGTACTTCAAACTTATTACACAAATTTTAACAATTTTTATATTTTTAGCAATTGTCGTAAGTTTGATGGCCAGTGCCAGTGGATCGGTTTTTAGGTAAATTTTACTATTAACTTGCTGACATCTAATAGATGCTGTATCATGTCATTCATGTCTTCAGACAACCTGTTTTCTTTGTAAAATTTTAATAGCCCCTTTTTTTTGGAATTACCTAACACACAAGAACAATTATTTTAGACATATCAAAAATTTTATTGAATATGTAACACTGTTAATTGTTGGAACAAAATGTGTTGTAGAATTCAGTTAGGAAATCAAGTTGAGGTCGATCCTGAAGAAATTCATGTAACTTTTGAAGATGTAAAGGGTGTCGATGAAGCCAAACAAGAACTTAAGGATGTTGTAGAATTTCTTAAAAATCCTGACAAGTTTTCTAATCTAGGTGGGAAGCTACCTAAAGGTGTCCTGCTTGTTGGTCCACCAGGTAGGAATTGTAACGTCTTTATGATGAAATTGTCTTGAATTGTATGTTACTATTTTATGACCAATTAGCCATATAAAAATTATAATTTTGAAAAAATCAGGTACTGGGAAAACACTTCTGGCAAGAGCTGTTGCTGGTGAGGCTGGTGTTCCTTTTTTTCATGCAGCTGGACCCGAATTTGATGAAGTTTTGGTTGGACAAGGTGCTAGACGTGTTAGAGATTTATTCAGTAAGTATTTTGTGATATATTGTGCATTCAAATAATGATTTGGGTATTCAATCAAATATAAAATTGAATTTTACAGTTTACATTTTGTAGAAGCTGCCAAGAAAAGAGCACCATGTGTAATTTTCATAGATGAAATTGATTCAGTTGGTTCTAAACGTACTAATAGTGTACTGCATCCCTATGCCAATCAAACAATAAATCAATTGCTTAGTGAAATGGATGGTTTTCATCAAAACGAGGGCGTAATTGTATTAGGAGCTACAAATAGACGTGATGATTTAGATCAGGCCCTGCTAAGACCAGGAAGGTTTGACGTTGAGGTGTGTATTAAAATATTACTTTTTCATTTGTGGCAGAATATTTAAATACGAAAGTACATAAAGTTAGATTATGCTCTTTTGGGTATAAATAGACTGTAGCCAATTTTGTATTTATTTTAGTAGATTAATAACGGCATTATGAATATTATTTTAATATTAACAATTTGTTTAACGTGGCATTAAAATAAACTCCTAAATACCAGTCACAGTTTATTGTTTCAGTAATGGTTTAGTAACAACTATTTAACAAATTCAAATATTACCAGCCATATTCCTCCTGTTCACAATTAACCGTTTCACTGCAGTAGGTTGATATATGTACGCAAAATGATAGGCCAAGAAACAAGACAATAATAAGTCATTCACGTTCAGTGGGGAAGTGGCCATATCTATGACATAAAAATTGTACTTACCGTTATTAATTTTATGATGATTCAGTCAATACAATATCGTCATTGCACCTTCAAAATGGACATGTATATTTTCAGCTAAGTGCAGAATTATTCGATAAATGGCATCAAACCCCATAATATAGTTAAAAATAGCCATCTTATTTTCTACAGAACTGTGACTGTCCATGATCCAATTGAAAATAATTGTTGTAATTCAATAAAACAACAAACAGTTTTATAACTCCACTGAACAATTTGATAAAATACATGTTGCATTTTGAAGACGCAATGATGATATCTATAGTTGTGCCTCAGTTTCTGTCGCAACTTACAAATATTAGGACCCGTGTTAGTGACATTACCAGAAATAACAATATTGCTGATTTTGCAACTTACCATTTTAGCAGAAAAAAATCCAAAGAATAATTACTTATGCTGCAATGTAAAAAATAAAGAAAACATAGGTATAAATAAGTACATGTAAGTGTATGTAATTTAATTAGTTACAAGAAGTGATTAATAAATTAAAACTATACTTAGATGCATGAAAAAAACAAAATATAATAAAAAATGTGAAAAGTCATAAAACATAAACATTATTTTAAAAATATTTGTAATTTAAATGTTATGTGATGATGAGATGAGTTCCGCGGCTTTTCAATGCAAACCATCTAACTCGCGACGAAAATAGTCAAACGGCCGATTATCGGTATATCGACTTTTGATGTATCGGTATCGGCCGATTATCGGTATCGACCAAAAATCGTATATCGGTCGATCCCTTGTATTTATTTATGGCATAGTTTTCGAATTTTTTTATTTTTTGGGTATTTTGCCACCTGTGAAAAAATTTAAAAAAAAAACATAAAATAGACCCTTGCGCCAATTGGATCAGTCAAGGGTTATTTTTTATGAAAATTGTTTTGTCTAACCAAAAAATTTTTCACTGAAAAAAGCAGACACGTACAATATACAAAAACACACACTTAATATCGCACACTTTAAAAAGGTCGTTAATGTGCGATATTTCAAGTGATATATTTTTGTATTTTGTATTTGCTTTTTTCAGTGTGATTTTTTGGTTAGGCAAACTTATTTTTATAAAAATAACCCTTGACTGAACCATTTGCCATAAGGATTTATTTGACTAATTTTTAAAAATTTTTCACAGGTGACAAAATACCCAAAAAATAAGGCAAAAATCGATAACTTGCCGAAGAATTTAAATTTCAAAAATTATGTCTTTTGGAACTGATCTTATGCTTATTTCAGATTTTTTCACAGTTTTTGTACTTTATACCAACTTTCTTCTCATCCTGGTTGCATGCCCTACATACTGAATTTTACAAAAATTGTACATTGTACTTTGCACTTTGTCTTATTTGAAAAATTTTAAAGTAATTCCAAAAGTTCCATCTATAATACCTTCTTCCTATGTCATGGTTTACTTCCATTCTTAAAAAGTAGTCAAAGTCAACAGTTTAATGTGGAGTTAGTATCCTAATTAATTATAAAAATTTAGATCTCACAGAATCAGTCAGATGAGTTTAGAATTTTTCGTAACCTGATGGTGACCCACTTTTTAGGTTACCGTTCCGACACCAGACTATACTGGCAGAAAAGAAATACTTGGTCTATATTTAAGTAAGATCTTGGCAAAAGATGTTGATTTAGAATTATTGGCAAGAGGAACAACAGGATTTACAGGAGCAGACTTGGAGAATTTGGTTAATCAAGCTGCTCTGAGGTAAATACACATACAGGTATATATTAGTTAGTTTAGTTTGCAGGCTTCCATGGCTGTTGTCAATGATTGAATAATTTTCGGGTTAATTGCCACTTTATCAGTTTAAACTTCTTGAGGTTTGGAGTTTTCTTCAGAAAAAACTTGGAAGTTGGGGATTAAGTCCTCTGGCTGGTATTTATGCTTGGGCACTTGCCCGGTGCATGGATTGAAGTTGTTGTCCCGTGTCGTTTTGGTCCTTGATTTTTGCAGATCAGTTGTTTCCAGATTCCAATAGTTCTAACCTCCCATCCCAATGGAAATTAGAATAGAAGAATCGAGATAAATTGATAATTTCAATTAACGTGAGCGGCTAGAACTGACTGTCATTTGGAAGTGATCTCAAAAATCAAGGATTCTAACCAGATTTAATCTCCAGTTTCAAAGTTTCTTCTAAAAGATATGTCTTGAAACATCAAGAAATCTAAACCGATTATTAATTTCCTGTGAACCAAATGAAACTTATTTTCATTCTACAATAAGTTTTCTTATTTTCTATTTAATGATGAACTTGAATTATTGTGGTTATGTAAGAATAATGGTTTGACTTAGGGCTGCTATAGACGGTGCCGATTATGTGAGTATGAAATACCTGGAGTCTGCCAGAGACAAAGTCTTAATGGGGCCAGAAAGGAGGTCTCGCATACCCGACGAGGAGGCAAATCTCATAACCGCATATCACGAGGGCGGACATGCTATCGTAGCATATTTCACGAAAGATAGCCACCCCCTGCACAAAGTGACGATCATACCCCGAGGACCTAGTTTAGGCCACACCGCTTACATTCCTGAAAAGGAGCGATACCATGTTACAAAATCTCAATTGCTTGCCATGATGGACACCATGATGGGTGGTAGAGCTGCGGAGGAGTTGGTATTTGGGCCTGAAAAAATTACTTCAGGTTTGTAGATTTGGAATTCACTCCGATAATATTTAGGTATTGTTATTTGATTTAATAATGGATATTTTTGATTAGTCTCAACTTGACTTTTAATTAGTAATGAATCAATAGAGGAGTGAGTATTAAATAATATTTATTCTGACTTGTAATATTACATTTTTCAACAAATTTAGAATTTCTTAGAAAACTGCGAACTTATTCCACATAACCAATAACGTAGTAAATGAATTAATAGATTGGTTTATTTTTATAAAGACAATTTCGATACCAGAAAATCTGAAAATCTACTTTACCGACAGCAGATAAATTTCACCGATATTAAGTTTGTAGTTGAGTTGAGAAACAAAGTAATACTCGTTTGAGAATAGTTTTCAAAATTTTCCCAATTTTTTCGCCGAGTAGTAATTAATTTTCTGTTTAAAATGGGTTTTGAATGAAGCTGATCTATAAATGGTACATAAAGCTACAAAAGAACCTCGATTATCCGGGCCTGCCGGAACTGGACTGTTGCTGGATAATCGAAAACACGGTTAATCGAAATAACACCGAAACTCACAAATTTTGCAAAAAATATAAACTTTATCAGACATACCTATTACACTGCTGGCCCTTTAAAAGTGGACGATTTATTTTTTTAATGTGATGTGGTCTACTTTTCTTATTATGACAAGTTTTTATATTATATAAGTGAGAGCTATAACTTTACTTCAGAATGATTGGTCATTGCGGATGATCTGCATGTATGCGAGAACAGCATATTTAAACTCAAAGAAAAATGGATTGTGGAGGGTCACATGCGTTATGTTCACGGAGGTGGGCGTTGAAAAGTAAGCACCACCTAAGAATAAATCCATTTGACATGGCAGTAACGGCTTCCTTTGAGATGAATTTTCCTGGATCAGTGCGAAATGCAAGGAGGCGGGTGAAAGATTCGGAGCTAAAGAATTATGTAGCCGCAAATACAGTTGCTTTGACTCCCCAGTATAAAGAACAGGTTAGAGTTTGCAAGACAATTTGTAGGAAGCCCAGACAACTTCTGGGAGAATATTATATTTTCGGACGAAAAAAGTTTTCAGCTTGCTCGTATGGTTCTGTCCATGTCTACCCACCAGAGATTATAAGGTATTCGGAGCCTTATGTGAAATTCACACAGCGCAGCAGAAGATTCTCCATTAACGTTTGGGCTTGGATAAGCTGCTAAGGTCCTTATGTTTATTGGAGGATAGAAGAGCGCCTCACTGGACTAAGCTATGTGCGCATAATGGAAAAAGTTATGCTGCCATCTGTGACCATGTTGTATCCTCAGAATTTCACTTTCCAGAAGGATAATTGTGCAATTCACACCTCAAAAGTTGGGTCAGAATGGTTCATTGATATCAATATCGATGTTTTACCTTGGCCCTCAAAGTCCCCTGTCCTCACTCTTATCGAGAACACCTGGTGATATATGGTAAAAAAAATTTGACAGAAACTTCCGTCCAGCTAACGTCGAAGAACTTTGGGAGGCAATTGGAAACGCATGGAATAACATCTCTGAGGATTACACAAGAACAATTTTATCAATGCCATGTAGATTGCAAAGTGTTATAGACAAAAGTGGTGCTTGGACAAAATACTAACTGCAAATCGCGTTTTTCTGACAACGAAAAATGTTTCATTTTTAGATCTCGTTGACGGCGAATGAATGGCTGTTAGAATGTATAATATATTTAAGTATTGGAAAAATAAATAATTTGCTACCTAATTTGGATTTGTTTTGCTCAGTAGAACTAGTATAATAGACACACATTAAATTTGACATAATGACGGCCGATTTGAACCTCACATTTTCAAGTCAGCTTCACAAAGGCACACATTAAATTTGACATAATGACAGCCGATTTGAACCTCATATTTTCAAGTCGGCTTCACAAAGGCACATTAAATTTGACATAATGACAGCCGATTTGAACCTCACATTTTCAAGTCAGCTTCACAAAGGCCAATTATAGACAATTTGCTTATGAGTAGTCCACTTTCAAAGGGTCGGCACTGTGCATATGTAGATAAATAATATGTATGTTATAAACAAGCAGAGACTTATCTTTTTTTTTGTTTCCGAGTGCTTTTTTTACCCAGCCACAGATAATCTGCGCACGGATAGCGGATAATCATAAACATTGCAGCACACGAAGAGTCCGCTGCACGGATAATCGGCGTTCTACTGTACTTAACAGGATACAGGGCTTCCTTTGACCTTTAGAGACACATATCAATAGTTTTTAGTAGAAGTAAAAGCTTTTTTTTTTAACCCTTTTTAGTAATTTTCGAATCCAGCCGCTGGACAAGCAAGTGTAGAGTAGTTTCAAAATCTCATGAGCCGCGAAATGTGCGAAAGGCGTGGCGTATTCACATAATTCTTTTAATAAGCACGTTGTGAAAAAATTGACTCATAATTAGACCACGTGCCTTATTACAACCAGAAGTGAACTAAGGCGCTCGGGCATCATTAAAATCAACTGGCGGACGTTCGTTATATATAGAGATGGGAAAATTCCCAAACTATGAAAATTCCTGGAAAGTTTCCATTGAAAATTCCGGAAATTTTCCGAAAATTTCAAAAATTTTTGGATTTGGTATTGTGTTCTACATATCATCAGCTTTCCAAAAAAACCAAATACTTATATACATTTTTATTTATATTGGTATAAATATTGGAAAAATATAAATTATGTATTAATCATCCCTTAGAAAAAATTACATGCTGAGGGTTACACTGCATAAACACTATACAGTATAAAATATTTATCTTTATTTTTTAACAAACAAATAGTAAATACATTAAATAATTATACTAGTTTTAAAATGTAATTATACTTTGGTTCAACTATCAAAATTCATATTAAATTTGAAAAGGAGGCAATTTATGAGTCTTGTATTGCTCTCTATTATGTAGATTGTAGACTTAACAAAGATTAAAATAAGTAAGTGTAAGTGTTTTCTAACTTATTTGGATAATATGGTCTTCTGGTATTCCGAATTAACTAAAAATCCGAAATTAGCCAAAGATTTTTTGTGTATGTTCATAGAAGTTAGAAGTAAAATTGGCTCCAAGTTTACAAATTGTTAGAAATATTCCCGGAAAATTTCCGACGGAAATTTTTTCAGAAACTTTCCAGGGAAAATTTCTCAAGCTTCGATTATTTCTTCCCGGAAAATTTCCCTTTTGGAAACTTTCCGGGACGGAAAATTTCCCATTGCCCATCTCTAGTTATATATATTTTTATTGCTTAAATTAGAATAATAAAGAATAGGGCATTTTATTATAATATTTGTAATTTTGTAATCGGATCAAAGGCTTGTTTACGCTACGAGAGCTCGAGATAGACTGTGAATAATAGATGTAATATTTTTAGGACGTAGAATAATTTAGGCGACGGTCGGAATTATGTTTCTGCGCTTATCAAGGTCAAAGCTCATAAGATTTTGAAACCACTCTAACCTTTAATAACGGCGCACTTTAATTGCGGCGGATGCACAATGTCTTTGGCACTCGTTACTTTTATTAAGTGGGTGTTTGCCAAAACTCGAGCAGTAATCAATAATGTTAAATGAAATGCGCAAAAATAAATAAGTCTGTTTATTCACATGACATAACAATTTGTTGAATTTATTCCCATCCAAAATTAACGTATTGCCTTTCAAAACTCGCATAATCTCTTAAATGTGTAACCTGCCACTTTTAACTATGGGGACCTCAGATTACGGAGTTCGTTTGGAATTTAGTAACGATTAAAAGCATTCAAATTCACAGTTAAATGTACTATCTTCAAATGCGGAACAATAACTGACCGCCTTCGCTTCGTCACCGTTGATATGCACTATCTCCCTCCACATGTACTGTAGATTGCCAGCAATCTTGTTATAAATACATGAGTATTACAGTAGCGTGGTACACAATATTAAAGTGCATTTAAAAAAAAAATAGTTATAATTGTGATTCTAATTGTTTCTAAAAGTAATAGTTTTATAGGGGCTAGTTCCGACCTACAACAAGCGACTTCCATTGCTACACATATGGTTAAAGACTGGGGTATGTCGGAGAAAATTGGTCTGCGTACGATGGTAGACAATCCTAAGAGCTTCCACGGAGAGACTTTGGGGCCTTCAACAAATGAAATGGTAATTGAATAAAATATATTTAGAGATTTACCTTCTTTCTATTTCTTTCTTCTTTCTGAAAGGAAAAATTATCTTTATCTTAAGTCTTATTCATTTTATAGGTGGATAGTGAAATTCGAAGAATTTTGTCAGAAAGTTATGATCGAGCCAAACATATTCTAAAATCCCACGCGAAGGAACACAAAGCTTTAGCAGAAGCGTTGATGAAATACGAAACGCTGGATGCGGAAGATATAAAGGCCATTATGGCAGATAAAACTACAGAAAAGAAAAAGCTATAGGTTCTCTATTATACAAAATATGATATATAATAGGATATTTTGTTGTTAATATATTTTGTTACAGTAAAAAAATCTGATTTTATAACCACAACGGCTGATTTGTAAATACCTTAATTTTTGAAGTATTACTCAAATATGGTTCTTGTAAATATGACAATTTTAGATGAAAATGTAATCAGGCCTTTTGTGACTTAAAATATATTTAATATTTAACACATATCTTTTAATTTATTGTGTTCAGACGATTTATTGCATTGTGTAAGTTTTATTTTTTGCTAAAACTGTTGCAGAAAAATAAATTTTGTTAGATTTCAAACAACGTATTTATTTAGTAGCTTATAAAACCACATTTATTAAAACCAAAAGCCAGCATGCAAAAAACTCCAAGAAATTGTAAAAAGAATACTTTGCATTTATGTACTTCTCTCACATTGGCAGGGTTGTTTCCGCATTAAAAAATAATGCAGATTTTTACAAAATTGTAGAGATGGGCACTTTTCGGAAAAGTGTGTTTCGGACATGTTGATGAAATGTCCGGACATGTCGGGGAAAAGTACTTTTGACCTTGAATCTAATTAGGCACCTATGAGTGACGTCATGTTTTCACAGGTTACTGCTTGAGGGTACACAAAGCAAAATATTACTTTTATTCTAATGAATCTGTACTTATTACCTACCTTTAGACTTTTTTATAAACTGGTTAAACTGATTTCTAATTTTCCCCGGACAGCCAATACACTTATTTAAATGTTTTTTCATCCTACTGGAATTCTTAAAAATTGTTTTTGAGCAGAAGTTACATTTTTAATGATTTTTCAATTCGGAAAAATATAACCAAACTGTTGATTTTGGCGTCATACTTCCTTTATAAACTACTTGTGTATCGTTAACTTTGTCAAAAATAATAAAACTTGGACATAAATTATAAAAGAGGTTATATTTTTAAAATGTCAGTTTCAGTTAAACAATTTTTACCAAGAAAATGGCTAAATATCTCATAGACCTTATAAACTAGGTCTATGAAATATCTATAATTTTATTAATTTTACATGTACCAATCTCAAACATTTTTTGTAGGAATTATGAATGCAACAAAGTCCGCGCATGCGCATACGACTTTTCAATCTTGAAAAGTGTCTTCAGGACATGTCTACTTTTCTGACTTTTCACATGTCCGATGGACATGTCCGCGGAACATCTCTATAAAAATAATACTTTGCATTTATGTATGTACTTCTCTTACATTAGCAGGGTTTTTTTCCGCATTAAAAAATAATGCACATAGTTTATTACAAAATTGTATTTAAAAATTAGAAATAAATAAAATTATACTAGGTCAAGACCTCCCAAAGCAGTAAGCTATAAATTTTGCAATCATAAATTAAAAACTGTAAAAACGAGTTTCTGTAATTTAATTTTGCCTCAAGGCAAGGGGAACGTCCTTTTGTTGTGGCTGTACACTCGTACTTTTATTTTAAGTAGACGTAAAGACTACTTTTTTCTATTATTAGTAATATAGGCTTAGTGGAGTGCGGAGTTTAACAGGACCGTAGTCAGATTACGAATGAAAATAATATGTTTGCAGAAAATATATCGCAACATAGATTATTCTTTCCAACACTCTTCATTTTTTTCTTTTATCGTACTACTGATTAGGCTTATATTATTGGCATATATATTTTTTTGTACATCATCCATTATATCAAATTGTTCATTTGAGGATAGTCCATGTAATTCAATTTCATAAAGAGAGAGAGAGGGGTATAGGAGGGTATATGCGATATCTCTCTAGCAGCATGCGATCGCGTGCTATACACTACAAAGGTATAAATGTGAATAACTCTGCTTTGGCATAGTTTTTAACTACCTTCTACCTAGCAAATTAAATATATATTTGAAATTCCGGCAATGGGTAAACTTTCGAGCATATACTACTGGAGGTAGCGTGCCATTGCGAAAAGTGTGGCTGAATGTGCGAGAGAAACAGCAGTATCTCAATACCTGCTGTCTCACTCTAGTACGTACGCGATTGATTGGAAATGAAGCCCGTCGTTGAAGCGAAGAATGAGAAGAAAGCATGTACTGAGATACTGTCTGCATAGATAAGAAGAAACTGTCTGTTTCTCTCGCACAGTCAGCCACAGTTTTCGCATGCTACCTCCAGTAGTATATATGCTCGAAAGAGTAAACAACTATACTCGCCATCATGCGATCTATAGTTTAAACCTCGGCCGCAGTTTAAGTAATCCGAATTTTAACCCGAACTTATATGTACAACCGGCCCGACCCAGTGTATTATCTACCCCATCTCTTGCCAATACATCTATTGTTATAATATCACTGTTTTTTTGCCTTTCTGTCAAATATAGACAGTTGATGGTACCTTCGAGCATATACCTTCTAGAGGCAGCCTTCAATGCTAAATGAGCGAACAGACGTGCGAGAAAGAAAGCATATAAAACTATAAGCTATCTCTCTCACTCCGTAAATTTTATTGGTTGAGAATCAGACCCCGTTATTCCCCTCCAGCACCTCACATTACAGAGTGAGAGAGATAGCGATTTATGTGCTTTCTCTCTCGCACGTCTGTTCGCTCATTTAGCATTGAAGGCTGCCTGAAGGTTCGCTCTAGGTATATGCTCGAAGGATGGTACCGACCATAGACCACTTAGACTGGCTTATAGAGCGACTTTGGTGAAAACACTTCGGAGCCTGATTTGGAGCCCAGCGCTCAGTAGTGTCCTAGCATTTGACGTGTACGCATCGCTGTGATTTCGATAATTAGATGTTTTATCGTGGGCAAGTGTATTGTAAAACATTGTATAAATAGAAGTGATCGAGTTGGTGAAGAGAAGCGAAAAGATTCCTTCTTTAGGTAAGTAAAAAAAAGGAATATATAAAAGGTAAATATGTACGCCATTTTTCGGTTGACGTCACAAGTTTCGAGGGTTAGCTTTATAATTTTGTTCGCCCACATAGTGTAGTGATTAACGTGATATTGTTATATTATGAATTAATTACTGTAAAATATTTTTAGTAATTATTTACTTTATGTGAGTCTCAAATTTTTATGAAATTTTACCAATTCCCGTCATTTTGAGATAGCTGAAAATTAATTAAATATTTTTTTTTCAATTGAAAAAATCGCAAAGAAAACTAATTTCATATTCATGTTCAGCACCCTGGAAAAGGAGAGTTGGCAAAATGTGATTAGAAAAATCAGTTTTGTGACAAAAAAAAATTATTAAGTACGCTTCGATTTTTCAAACCTAAATATTTAAATAATTTTTACACCTTCCCAAGGAATGTTGACATAAAACGAAGATGAGTGAAGGCTATTAAAAAACAGGACTGGACAGTAGCAAGTACATTATAGTATATTTTGGCGGTTTCGTAATAATAATAATAACAAGTTCTCTAATAAAGCCAATAAAATGTGAAGACTGTTTAAATAGTTTAATGTCAAATACACAGTATTCGTACAGTCAATTTTTATTAAAGATCGTGGTTATTTGACGTATCCAACTCGAGATGTCGTAGTAATATGCCAAGAAACAGAAAAATTAATAAAAATTTTAAATAATGATGAAAGCAGAACACCTAGGCTAAAGAAAAATAAAATTGTTTATGTATTAAAAAACTTTCTGAATGTGAACATATTTGATAATTTGCATGAACATCAATTTGATAATTTGCCTAACAATTGTTAATAGAACTTGTAAGGGCTGAATGTGAAATGTATATCGATGTACGAATAATTCATGAAGTCAAATTATTTAATTCGGTAAAATCTACAAAAAGGCAAATATTAAATAAATTAATGTTATTTAGAGGACAATAAATATATTTAAATTATTTTGTAGTTTTATTTAATATGACACTAAAATATATATATATTTTCTGAATTACAAACTTAAAATTGAACATTTGTCATAAGATGCAATATAATGTTTAATATGTAATAAAAATATTACTTAATCCGGATCTGCTTAAAGATGTGCGCGATCAGATTACCTTCCACACTCCACTTCCCCGGATTTTGCTTGCATTCACTGGTACCCGTGCGTTGGAATTAGATACGGCCAGTCTAGGTGGTCTGTGGTACCGACAGATTCTGTTCTGTGATGGCACAAAACATGTGTTTTGTGCATAATAGTTGGTTTGACGCAAGGATATTTATAATTTATAAATATCCTTGGGTATGACGTAATAGAGAATTGACGTACGTCAATCATTTTAGTTTAGCATGAGTGTAATACTTATAATGATACGTTTTAATTTAGATAGAAGTACGATCTAAAATTGTGCAAAATAAAGTGAGGAATTTAATTTAAATATGTCTTATTGACAGTCACCCATGTTTATTGTATGAAGTTTAGATTAAAAATATTGTAACCATGACAACAGAGGAAAAATTTAATGCAGCTGTAAACGTTATTAGAAGTTTACCGAAAAATGGTAAGTTAAAAGTAATTATTTCATTTATTTACATGAAAAACATTATTTCCAAGTTCTTGGATATTAAAAATTTCGATACTGGATAAAGGGAGACTAATTTTATTTGCACTTACCTATGAAATGTTTGTTTCTACTGTTCTGTCTAGCGTAAGCTTTAGGAAAATATTTAAATATACAAACACAAGTGCCGATTTGTAGATACGCATATATAATATCGCATATATAAATATGTAAAAATTCCAATGCAGAGTACATGGGTTGAAAATAAGAATTAAGTATTAATGTGGGTATAATGTAATATTCCAAAACTTGTACTGCTTTTTTAAAATATTCCATATTAATTTTATATTACATATAATATCAAAAAGTTCTATTTAGTAAATGGTTTATCTATAAAAAAAATGTATCCATATCCATAAATTGCTTTTTACAAGTTGTACTTGAACTTTTACCTTATTGCTCTCATCAGTTAGAACAGTATTATTAACTTTTACTTCTGGCTTTAAAATTGTTTCATGGAATTTTACTTAGCAATATGTCTTCTCTCGGGCAAAAAATTAATTATGATTAATTTTTGCCAAATTTTTCTGGTAGTTACATACAACACATCTGGAATTGGCACCCCAAAACTTTAGACTACTTAAAAATGTAAATATGTAGATAAAAAAATTATTTTTAACATTTTTCATTGAATTGATTAATTTATTTCATATTAAAAAAATATATTCAAGTATTTCTGAGATATTTATAAATGAAATCGAGTAAGTACCTACCTATTACCAACTAAATTATTAATAATATAAATATATTAGAACACTATTGAATGAAGTCAAAAATCATAATAAAATAAATAATCTTAAAGGTCAATTTTTTATTATAATTTTGTTTGTGGGCAAAGTACTTAGAATATTTTTTTAAGAATGTAATATTTATTTGGAAATATTTTCAGGTTCTTATCAACCTAGCAATGATTTGATGTTAAGGTTTTATGGTTATTTTAAACAAGCCACTCTAGGTTCTTGCACTGGATCTAGGCCTGCTTTCTGGGATGTTGTTGGACGAGCAAAATATGACGCATGGAAAAAACTTGGTGATATGTCAAAAGAAGCGGCAATGGCTAAATACGTTGAAGAGCTACATGGGTAAAAACAATTGTATTGAAACTGTGAGTAGAATACTTTAGCATTGTTGCTTTTAGGATTGTAGAAACAATGAGTTATTCTGATAAAGTCGCTAATTTTCTGGAGGCACCGACTAATGAACTTGATACAATCAATATGGATGATCTAGAGTTAATTGCGGGAGATGTGATGGAAAGGGTTCGATCTTTACCGAATTCTCCATTAGGTAAATATTATTGTTCAAATTATTATGTATTATAGATATCCATTTTATGTACAGTCTCAAATGATTGGCCAACTTTTAGTAATGAATTCTACATCACAAATTAGTGAATTAGTTTTTTATTGTTCACAAACATATGTACAGGGCAATTCTCATAACATAACATAACACTCTTATCTTTTCTTAGTAATTTTTGACGGTAACTTTTTCTTCCAAGATATTCTTACAATTGGACCCACCTTTATCATGATCAATGAAGGTTTTACAATAATGTGTTCTTGTCTGCAAAGTGTTTCTTAGGTAAATGGCAAATTGTCGTAAGTGATTATTTCATGTTGGTTTTTGTTGTAACGACTGTTGTGCAAGTAATCATGAAGATGCTTGTTCTCAATTGATCTTTACAATTTGAAATAATCTGCGACTTCATTAATTTTAGACACTTTGTTTTAAACACAAAACGTTTTCCCACATATGTTTATCGAGACTTTTCCGTTAATTTGTGGTGTAAAATCTCAGATTACAATTTGATCAAGCACTTTATTTGCACCCTGTACATTTACCTGAAACTCTTTACTAACTGTTAAATACATGGTTTACAAAACAAAATTTATTGCTAAATAGTGCTTACATCATATCTATTTAAATAAATGTAGCCTCTTTCTAACATGGCTTGAATAGGAGTTGGGTAATTATAAAAAGATGTTTCATAATTTCATAACCAGTTAAGTAGTCTATTAAAAAGTAGTCCAAGACAGATGATTGAATTTATACAACAAACAATTTATATTGTAAATACTGCACACTTTTAATAAATAATATCCAAAATGATAGAACTTTCATATGTATATTTTAGCTTCTAGAGAAGCTTCTCCTGTTAGATTTGGATCTAATGCAGGCTCCTCTGCATCTCCATCACCCAGTACACAGGAGGATGAATCAGACCATAGTGATGACGAATATATAGATACTATAGAGGTAGGTATTATTCATAAGTTTATTGTTACTCGGAACCTTGAATATAACGAGCGTTCAAATACAAACGTGGTCGAAGTTGGCTCTGACACATTGGACGTAGGGAGTAGCTTATAGCGACCAACTTAACCTCATTTCTCAACGAGCTGTATAGCAGCTGTCAGTTTCAATAACGTTAATGACTATATAACTTTATTTTAAAGAATAATCGTGATAACAATAACAAACAATTAAAGGAGAACAAACGCAAATCTTTTTTTAACACTGTGTGGCAGGTACCGACTGATACTCCCATCATTTGTGATAAAACACGTACAGAAGTTCTTGGCGCATTTTCCATTATTTGTTGGACATTTTCTTTTAATTCTTCAGTCCGCTTTTTAGGTCGGCCGCTTCCTTCTTTTCTTGTTACACTGCCCGTTTCATGAAAAACATTAACACAATGCTGAACTGCACTTTGAAAAATTTTGTACTCAACAACGCCTGGAAATTGATTTTGAAATTCTATGAAACATTCCTCAATAGAATACTTCCATATTCCATCAATCTTGCGTCCATTTCTAAAGTAGGACTCTATGATAAACACTTTTTGTTCTTGAGAAAACACCATTTTAAACGCTTTTTAAAACGAAAATATTCAAATTGATAGCGGCGATATAGCGCTTTGACGGATGACATTTAAGTTCATTTGCTATACGCTACGCCCTACGTCCAAATTTTCAGAACCAACTTGACCACGTTTTTATTTGAACGCTCGTTATATAGAAACCCTTAATAAAGTCACAGAATTGATCAAATAAAGTTGACATCAAGTGCTATGATAATTATCAGTACTTGGCCAGGTATCACAGTTTAAATTTGTAATAGTGAGATAAATGGAAATCAACTTCAAACAAAAAAAAAATGGGAGAATATTGAGAAAAATAATTATGCTGATAAATATTTTGAAATTAAATCTTTTTATATTTAAATAATAATTGAGATTTTTATGATGTTAAGATTACGTTTAGGGAATTTGATCCCGGCCCTTATTTCTAATCTCGGGATTTCAAGATTATTCTTAGTCAATCCCGGGATCCGGAGATTATTTCCGTATTGAGGGTTACAAATTAAAAATAAGAAAATTTTACAGAAATCAGCTCTTTAATCAACAAATCAAGATTTAGACAAAAATCAATGTAATCAAAATTTAGACAAACCGACGTATTTTACAGTATATGTACACCTAGCTAGACTTCGAGTCAGACTAACCAGACTTAAAATCACTCAGTCCTTATGTTACAGTTATTCATTATTACAGTATAACTTACATAAATTGAAAAAACCTTTATGTAACAGACTATGCAAAAAAACATTGAAAATTAACAAACATTTCTTTTAACATCGACTAAATAGACAATTTTCATGTAACAACCTAGTAAGTTTCTTAGCAAAAAGTATTTAAAAATTATATTAAAAACGCACTGTAAAATGCATTGAGCAGTGCTCTTGATTGCAGCAGAAAATCAATTAGCGACCTCGAAAATTCAAAAATACAAAAATATCACTATAAGTAAGTAACCCAGTGAAAATTGCTTGCCTATCATTTTTCAAAATACAATAAGTTTTATTCTATGCAATCATCGTATTTTATATTAAAATGATAGGGAAGCGGTCCTGTTGAGAGCACTAGCACTGAGTGTGTGTTTCTCTTTACGCAGTGTATTTTGCAACTTTTTAAAATGATGTCAATCTGGAAAATCTCGGGATCAGAAAAATTTATTCCGAAAATTTCAGGACTGAAAAGCGGTTGGGATCCCGACAATCGGGATCCTGGAATCAAATCCGCTAATCATGTTACAGTATACAGTACGCGCCTAAAGTATGGAATAAATTCAGTAAAAACGAAACAAATTTTTTTTAGGGAAAAATCCTCGAACAGGTCGATTTTTAATTTAAAAAATACATATTTTAGCATAAAATGCGATTTTCAACCATCATTTGTTTTGGAGTAATGACATCATCTACATTTTTTTTAAATAGCGACCCCCTATTTTTTTTCTTGATTTTGAAAGATTGTTTCATTGTCGATCCGACAGTATTAAAATGTTGCCATCTTACATAGGAAATAAGTTTTCGAGTAAATGACGATTGAATGTTAGAAAACCCAAATCAATTAAAATAAAGCAAAAACATTATCAAATTTAGTTTTTAGAAATGCCTTAAGTTTTTTATGGATCACGTAGGTGTAAATCTTTACAAAGTGTCACTGTCATACCGACTTTCTAAGTATTGTAAGCGATATAAAAATTATTGTTGAATTTAATGTATTATGGCACATTTAACTGTCACACAAAGAATTGAAATTTCAATTCTTATCGGATGCGGGGATATAACTAGAACGCAGCAGGAGGTTTGGGATTTATTAAATGAAAAACATCCAGATCGCCGTATCAGCCAATCAGTCAGTAAGATAGAATCTAAATTTAGAGAAACTGGCAATGTTGTAGATATTCCAAAACTTGGACGTCCAAGCGTTAGTGAAGATCACAAACAGAACATTTTGATAAGTATGGTAGATAATCCTCATAATACTTCACGATTGCTTGCATTAAACAATGAAATGTATCCTGAAGAAGGAAAAATATTATCCCTACAAAATTCAACTTGTGCAGGAACTTAATGGAGACGACCCGACCGCTGCTTACACTTTTGTGAAATTGTGATGGATTTACGTCAAGTAAATAGACATTTACACCGGCAAATACTTTTTTCAGACGAGGCCACGTTTTGTCTCAATAGTACAGTGAACCGTCAAACTTGCAGGTATTGGAGTCAGGAAAATCCTCATTGGATGGCAGAGACACATACCCAATACCCACAGAAATTAAATGTGTGGACTGGAATAGTTGACAACAAAATAGTAGGGCCTTTCTTCTTTGAAGGAACCCTTACAGGAGAAAGATATTTAGAGTTTTTACAAAATGACCTTGTTCCAGCGCTTGCAGTAATTTTTCCTAACGATAATGACCCTGATATTCCTGATGACACCATATGGTTTCAGCAAGACGGTGCACCTCCGCACTATGCACGCCCTGTTCGAGATTTTCTGGACAATTGTTTTCCTAGGAGGTGGATCGGCAGACGAGGACCGATGGCATGGCCCGCGAGATCCCAGGATCTTACATCCCTGGACTATTTCTTATGGGGCTACTTAAAGTCCAAAGTGTACGTTAATAGACCACATAATTTAGAAGAACTCCAAAATAGATGAAATACACAGAGTTACCCCAGAAATAATTCATAATGTGCAAGAAGAATTTCTACACAGACTTGCGTATTGTCAAGAAGTCGGTGGGTGGTAATTCGAATGCTTGACATAGGAATTGTTATTTTTTAATGAACAAAATTTATATTTTCTAACATTCAATCGTCATTTACTCGAAAACTTTCCTATGTAAGATGGCAACATTTTAATACTGTCGGATCGACAATGAAACTCTTTCAGTCAAGAAAAAAAATAGGGGGTTGCTATTTAAAAAAAATGTCGATGACGTCATTACTCGAAAACAAATGACGGTTGAAAATCGCCTTTTATGCTAAAATATGTATTTTTTAAATTAAAAATCGGCCTGTTCGAGGATTCTTCACAAAAAAAAATTGTTCCGTTTTTATTGAATTTATTCCATACTTTAGGCGCGTACTGTATATTGATAATTTTTCACATTAAATTTTTGAAAAAATTTGTTTATTAGTGTAAAATCAGCTAATTAATTTTGAGCATTTTCCATATCAATAATTAAAATTGCCGACCATTGTACAATAATCCCATTTTTATGTGTCTTGGTTATTATTAGGTAAATATAGAAAGTTGCACTTTTTTTGAGAGAAATCCTCAGATCTAACAGATTTTTGCTGGTTTTAATTTTGAAATTGGAAAAAAAAGACAATTTTTTGATATTTTATGTCTGTGCATGGAGCTGATCTTTTTTCTAAAGTGAAAATTCAGTGGCATCATAATATTTTTTATCTTTTTTATCGTTATTCAAACGTATTGAATGCTATTCTCTGTTTTACAGAATTATGTTTAAAACAGTAAATGAGTGAGGTTTTAAATTGATCAATATGGTAAATGCCCGTCCATCAAATTATATGTTCCTCTCTTTTATATACAGGCTGTTACAGATTTGCTTCTCACTACAGGGATCTCGGAAATGGTAAGAGGTACGAAGTAGCTTAAATGGGGGCAAAGTTGCGTAATCAGGGGACCAACATTATGCCTCTACAAAAAACAAGGCTAATATGATTAGTTTTTGAAATATTTGGAAAAAAACGGAAATTTTGGTAATCCGTTTTTGTTTCATATCAGCCTTGTTCGAGGTGATATTGAAAAAAGAAGAACACTTTCTCAAGGCCACTTTTTTTCCCTCTATCGAATGGCATAATCAATTTTTATATGTAACGTTTCGTCTCTACAGGACCATCATCAACTTCATTTTTTTAAATATGTCCCTAGAAATTTTATTACATTTTTTGCAAGCCTTTATGACCCCCAATACTGTACTGCCTCAGCATGAACCACATTCAGACGTTTCGACTCGAAAAATTCATCTTCAATGTATTCCCTGTAGTGAGAAGTGAATTTGTAACAGCCTGTATTTGGAATTTGAAAAGACAAGATCTTGCGCTAAATTTAAAAACTTGACTGTTTTGAGTATAGCAATGTAATTTTGAGAATTTGTCAACAATTCCGTCTTTTATTTAATTGGTTCTCTACTGGAAAGTTGAAATAAATATCATTTATTAAATAAAATTGAGCCTATTGAAAAAGGTGATTCACTTCAAATCTGTTGTTTTTTAGAATCCAGAGCCACGAAAATATATTTCGAGCAACATATCAACGAACGAGTTACCTAATGGTAATGTTCTGCATATACAAAGCCAACACATTTCTAGATCAAGAACTAAGCCTCAGAATAACATAGATATATCACAGGAAATATCCAGGGCCGTTCAGAACATGAAGGAGGATATTGAGAAGTTAAAAACAAAAGTTAATTTTATAGAAAATGCTAACAGATCAGCAAAACTTCAAAGGAGAAAATGGTTTTTAGGAGAAACATCACCTCAAGTTTTTGTTTTTCTTTTAATTTGGCCATTTATAGCCAATTTCATAATGAATAGATTCCTTATTAGGAGGAACTAATATGTACACTTGTTTACTGTTCAAGTTGTTATAAAACTGTTTAGGATCGGTATTACAAGATTAACTTGTAACATGTATTGTGGTATATATGTTTTTATATATAATTTAATAATGAGTTTTTAAGATAAACAGCTATCTTCAGATTTTAAAAGGTGATTGTATTTTATATTTTTATAATGTTGATTTAACGGAGGTCCTTAGTCAGTAATTAGGATTTCTTTAGTTTTTTTTTGTTTGATTGTTTTTATAGGTATATGTACATATATGTTGGTGATGAGTTTGTTATATTTTTAGTATCTAAATTGTTTTTTGTTATCATTTTGAATAAAGAATTTTTTAATAGTTCAAAGGGTATATAATCATGAGTTATGTGAAAAGTTTTATTAAATAGTGTGAAATACTTAACCAGCAAAGTAATAATTATTTTCAAGGTAAGTGAAATTTTTTCTGCTTTGATTGTATCTACAAGGAGATTTCTATAAGTACTATACTTACACATATGTTGAAACTCGGTGCAATAAAGGTGTTTATAAGAAAATCTGATTTTCTCCCGTTTTTATTTTATCAACTGAAAAAAATTAACCACAATCCGTAAAGGCTTATTATCTATACGGTGGCAGTTTTCGTTATGGACTATCACTGTGTAGATAACTTTGTTACAAATTATTCTCATCACATACAAAGTTGGGTGAGCGAGCTGACGTCGCAAATTCTGGAGCACATAACCGACTCTAGCAGGCATCATATGTATTTATTTATCAAATAGTCAGGTTTTCAAAAAGTTATTGAAAAGTGCCTGTTATCTATAAACACAATGATGTATTTATTAATGTTATTAAACTATAAATAAAATGAGAATGGGCTCGTTCAGCAAATTTTTTTATTTGCTTAACGGAAATATATTGCAATTTTAGGGTTCTCTGCAAAAAATTAGAATTTATATCGCCTACAAGTCGTCCAAAAAAATCATAAAACTGGTGCGCTGAATCGGCGGGTGTGACGTCAGCGCATGGGAAACCGATGCCGCATGCTTACGTATGTCAGTCAGTCCGACTGACGCAGTCGGCAATCGAGGTTTAGTTGCCTGTTAAGTTTCGATTGAGTACATTAAAAATTAAAATACCAAATTTTGTTAGCAATATGGAACACAGAACAGAAAGATATTATAAATATAGTATTGTTCCCCAGTGTGAGGACGCCTAAGAAAATAATAATGACCCCGTAATTCTGTCGTGCAGATTTAAAATCAATAGTCTATTTGTCTAATTTGTTTTTTTCAATATCTTTTATTTGAAAAATGACATTTTGGAAGCAACAAAACTACCATGCGTAATTTAGGTATGTAATAAATACGTTTGTATCTTCTAGAAACGCACTTGTGTTTTCCATTGTTGATTTTTTTAAATACCTACAGGTACTAAGTATTTATATAAAAATACATAATAAATATTATTATGTAGGGGCCGGGCAGGATGGTTAGTTTCACAAAAATAAAAACTATTTGTTTCAATCTTCAAAGTTGTATTTTCCTCACATTAAACTTAACATGTGTCTTAACCTACCCTCATAAAATCGATTCTCGTCTTCTTCCTCTTTTTTCCCCACTCCCCTAACTCACAGTTCTACCAATCTAGATACTAACAACAACGGGCGGCAAATTTAAGTTCATAATAAAATGCCTACAGTTAATATATTTATATTAGGTAGATTTTATGTAGTTTCCATGGGAATAAAAATAGTAATAAGAATTTTGTAAATTAGGTAAATCTTTGAAACTTGTGACACAAACGGTTTCGTTCGATTAAACGCAAATTCTTATTCTATTTACTATTCTGATTGTACAAGAACATCAAAACTTTCGCCACAAACGTACTTTAAAGAAGTTTTACACGTTATTGAAACGTAACCTTTGCATTTTCACTCCTCTCATCTCAGCACTGCTAAAGTCGTCGTTTTTATTAAAAAAAAGCCATAGCCCTTAAGAAACCTACTTCTGGCAAATCAGAAGAATCTGCTTTTACGAAATTTGTTTCCATTTTTTAAATTTAATATGCACAAATGTTAAAACATTCTGTAGATGCAGAAACTCATCTATATAAAAGTAGCGCCAAGCCGGCTGACCGTCCCATGCGGTGACGTCATTGCATTGCCATGGCTGAGACAAATATTCGCATTTTAAAAATTATAGTTTGAAAACGACTCAACGGATTGAGTTGAAATTTTCAGGATCACCTAATGAGCAATACTTTGTGTATACAAAATAAGAACGTTTTTGAATATTTACTGAATGACCTCATTGTATATTCGACAGTATTGAATGAAATTTGTGCCCAAATGCTTGATTAAACATATAATATCACAAAACATATAGTATAATATCCTGATTGTGAATATACCAACCTCCCTTTTGTGATATATTTTTGAATGCCCCATGTATTTACCATAGCAGAACATCATGCAGTATCATTTATCTAGCACATCATGGCAGCAAGGTTCCTTAAAAACCTTTACTTGGCATTGCAGCGGCTAAAAATTCTTAATTAGTAATAATGTAATGTTCCCACTTTATCAGTAAAAGACCATCCCTGATATGTCATTGATCCATCCGAGTGCAATGAATGAAACACTTGGATGTTATTTTGATTTGATCAAATAATTTTGACAGAAATGTGATGGTTCTAATTCTAAATAATAAAAATATTAGATCTATGGATAAAATATTGCAATAGATAACTTCACTTTTTATATGTTAGCACGCTTTAATTCTCGCGAAATTAATTAAAAATAGCTTAATTCCTCTATAGTCAATGTCAAAATTGGAACATTACAACGTTACGTTGTACCGTAACCGTTGTACGTTGGAACGTTACATTTACAAAGTAATTTCATTTACTATCAATAAATAATTCATGATTACGTCATACCATAAGTAATATCCAAAATATCTCACACGTGTAAACTGGGCTTTATAAATATAGTCGAAAAAAATTGCCTATTGACGTCATTAATATTTGTCTGTCAAAAATTCTTATCTTCTTGAAAGTTGTAAAATGTCAAAGGATATCAAGATTTCGTCATTGTGTAAAAGCAATTAGTTGCGAGCACTTTGTGCGTTGCATTTAAATTGTTTCGTTTGTTATAATTATGTTTATTAGTGCCTCCGAGGCCGTTAATTCCGATACAAGTACGGACGCTAACATAAGTAATAGTGAGGAAGCAATGCCTGCTGTAATTAGTAGTAATTCGTAAGTATAATGTCTTAAGTGATTCCAACTTCTTTATGAGGTATCACGATAAATTTCGGATATAAAGCTATAGGAATTTAAAACAAATAAATACCGTAGGATTTAATTCGATTTAGTAATTTTCAATCATAGTCATTTTCCAGAATGTTCTTAATTGGAAAAAATAATGGAAAACGGAGAAAATGTTATCTTATCATTGCTATATAAATAGCATTATTTTCTACTAGTGAAATGAAACAATTGGATATTTATTTTTATTATGGTGGTATATGTTAATAACGTTTACCAAACAAACTTTGTGGTTCTTTGTAGATGAATGAAGATGTAAATTTGTTTGACCGATTGGTTTAAAAAACTCCAACGGCATCAACTTGTGTTCCAGTAATTTTCCATTACATTTTATTGGCTGTATAAATATTATACTATAATACAAATAATTATACGTATTATCATAATAATAACAACATATTTGCACTTTTGTTTGATATGTTGTTTTGTTTTGAACCTTTTTGAACTTTAAAAAGGAAAAAAAAATTGGACATAACTCGTTTATTTTAGCTAACTGTAATAACTTTTCTGATTTTTATTACAAGTTTTTATTTAACTTGCCTTGTTAGTATGGGTCAAATCTTGCAACTGAGTTTTAAAAGTTATCCCCAAACGATTGAACTGAAATTTTGCATACACATTTGAATGGTACAAAAGCTTGTAAAAAAATTTTTTTTGTATACATGGACTTATTTGATCAATGTATTGAGTCAAAAACGGATTTAATTAACCTTTGCATTAGTTTTTTGAAAATTAAATTTTACGGCTAGTTTTATAGGTATGTACCTGTCACAATTGTACTTAAAATAGATTTTAAAAAATGCTGATATTAATTTCAAATTGTTTGCTTCAACAATTTGTAAAATTTTTAATTGTAAATAAAAATGCAGACAGAATAGTATTCTTAATTTGCATGGTTCATTCATTAAATAAATATCAAACATGTTTTGGCCATTTAGATGAAAAGTTTTGCAAAAAATAAATATTGATTTTAACCAACCAAAACTGTCTTTTGAGTAATATATCAGGTGATATGAAAAACAAACAATATTTTGATTATTTAGTTGAAAAATGTTTTATAAATGATATGCGATAAGTGTATAGAATAAACAATTTTAGTTTTAGATAAAATGTTGATAGGTTATTAAAAACATGTGCAACTAATGACCATACTTGAGGAATATACGCTGCTACACATAAAATAATTTTGTAAAGTTTGAAGTATTAGTTGTTAATTATAATGATTAATTATAAATTCTGATTTCTAACAAAAGCAATAAATAACATTTTTTTATCAAGAAATACCAAAAACTGAGGCCTCCTTTTAGGGGGATTTACTGTATCCCGCTGTATCCTAACATTTTTGACCTTTGGTGAACTGTTTACGAATTATCTACAGAATTTATTTAATTAATAATTTCTAAGAGGTTTCTGTTTGTAAAATTGAAATTGTTATTAGAGATGTTAAGACATTACTTCTTTTTGTTATTTTTTAGTTAAAATTAATTGATAGTCTCGTCCATCAAGACTTTAATTTATTAGAAAATAATGTTTCGTATGGGCAGAACTAGTATTATAAGGATGCTTTATAATGCTTAAATTTTGGAAAATATTTAATACACAATTCTAATGATAATAACATTCAGATTGATTTTACCATTTGTCTTGTCCCGACCTAAAATTTGGTCTTAAATTAAATCATATATTTTTGTTTAAGTTATGAAATTTATATCCAAGCATTGGTTTTTAAAATGCATAGTTCAGTTTTTGGTGTGTATGGTTTCTCCAATTTTTCTTCAGGGGATAAAAACGAGAAGAAAGTGGTTATTGTTATATTAAACTGAATTAAGTACCTATATTACTTATGTATTCTCTCATAAGTATATGGATTTTTGCTGGAAGTATTATATTTTTGATTTTTTGAGAAAAATTCGCACCTCAAAAAAATTGTTAGAATAATCTCACTACTAAATAAATTTAGATTTTGATGTACAGGATGTTCAGTAAATAAATAAGAAAATATCAAATAATTGAATAGCAAAATATTTGATTTTCACTTAAAAATGTCATCAAAAAGTATGAATAACATACAAATCTGACCAAAATTTAATAATTAGATTTTTTTAGTAATAAATATGTCAAGACAAAATAGAATGATTGAAATCATCTTGCTGACACCCACAAGCATTTCTATCCTTTTTTCAAACTCCAGTAAAATGTTGGTCATAGAGGCTGTAGCTTCTAGTGTGCCACTTCTGTGGTAGTCAATGGTTAGACAATTCTGGGCTGCTTACCATGTCTGTTTAAACTTCTTGATGTATAGAGAGATACAATGTCTTTTTTATTTCATATTACGTTTTTAAATTGTACTTTGTTGGAACCAGCCTAGAAGTTGTTCAAACTATATTAGCTTCAATAATTCAATATTAATATAGAAAATCAGTAGCTTTATTGTGGCCAAATTGGGATTCTGAGGTGATTGTTATCGATGAGACATGTTATTTAACTGTTTCCCATTTCTTTCAGTAGTATGTTGCTGAGTAGTAAACGTTCCGCCAGTAGCGCTTCAGAGGCCGATTGCTACAACATGTCTCTCGGCGCCGGGCCTCTGTGGTGGTCCTGATGCCCCTGGGGAGACCAGGGGCTCGCCGCCTTTGCGGCTAACTTTTCGCACTGGCCGTCAGCCATGGGACACTGTCTTGCAGGGGCGCACTTTGTATGTTGCCCTTCCACCACGTGTCCTTGCCGAGGGCTCCCGTGAGAGTTTTGTTGCACTGCTTGAGGCTGCAGAGGAGGATCTTAAATGCGAACATGTCATAGTGGTGAGAATAATTGGGTTAAATCTCTTTTTTTTAATATCTATCTACAGAGTGGTCCTAAATTGTCTCAATATTTTCAAGTTACCTTATTGTAATTTTGCTTCCTTAAAAAAAAAAAAAAGTAATAACCCATCACTTTTAGAAACATTTCACTGGAATGTGGGGAGATTTTTGGAATAACCGGATATAAATATCAGCTTATTTTTTACCTAAATGTACTTTTGTTTTTGCCATATTATTTTTGTTGCTAGAGATTTTGAGAAAACTCAGATATTTTTGGAATCAAAAGTTTTATTTACTAAAAAAATGTGTATGTACATGTTGCGTATTACTGATATGCACCACTTCATAGAAAAATGGATTTCAGTCATCAATTACAAACGACTATTTGGGAGTATTTTGATACAATTAAACTTCACTCTATTGCTAAATTTACAAAAGTCGAAAAAAATATTTAATTTAGTTGCAAATTTAATATAAACGACTGATAGTTACTAACTGGAATTAAAAATTGAAATTGTCTTTCTCTGGAATAGTAGTATTTTGCAATGTACAATATAACCTTTTCTACAGTATGTAGATAAAATTACTTTTCAAAACACCTCAGTCTCAAAATCTTTACCAGCAAAAAAATATAGCAGCAAATAAAGGACCGTTAAAGGTGTTCTTTGTTTTAGTTCAAAAGCAAACTGATATTTATATTCTGTTGCTCCAAAAACACCTGCTGTTCCAAATTTAATTGAAATATCTTTTTTTTTTAAAGACAAATTAAAAAAATGTATGGGAATTATCCAATCCTGGGGACTAATTTTCTCAAAGGTTAAAAGTCTCGGAAAAACAACAAATCGAGTGTGACACAAACTTACTAGTTTTTCGTAGTTTAATGATCTTATTCACAGATTGAATATTAGAAAAGGATTATCACTTTGAAAATTGTTAGTTCACAAATTATTTAAGCGGTTTTTAGTATTTTTACAGCGTACACACTCACAGCGATGTTTTAGCAAGTATATTTATTCAGTCCAGAAAATCAGGGCACAAAAGGAACGTGTAAAAAAGCAAATATTTTCAAGACAAATTAAATCAAATTTAAACGAATTTGTATAGGCAACAAGACTTACAATTAATAATATTTATTTAAATTTAAAAAAAGAACATTACGAAAAAAAATGAAATAAACTAATTTTATTTAAAGGCTAACGACTTTTTACGAAAATTGTACTGAGGTAAGTGAATCTATATCGGTTTATTTTCATCCAAGGATGCTATCCTTGAGACATGGCTTCTGTATACCCTGTAGATACATACATACATATCTTTTTTTTCAAGTGTTTACATCAATTATTTAATTGTAATAATTGTTTGTGTAATGTACTACATTAATTTACTTTAGATAACTAATTGTACATTAAATATTTTGCCAAATGTTTTAGTATTTTATGTCTTTTTTAAGATTACATTAATTTTGAACACAAAAACACAGTTTTCACTTGTCATTTTCTCAATAATTTTATATACAGACTTACAAATTCTCTTCTCACTACAGGGACCTCGGAAACGGTAGCTTAAATGAGGGCAAAGTTGCATAATCAGGGGACCAACATTATGCCTCTAAAAAACCAAGGTTAACATGATTAGTTTTCGAATTATAAAAAAAAAACGAAATTTTGTAAGTTCATCAGTTTTTGTTTCATTTCAGCCTTGTTTGAGGTGATATTGAAAAAAGAAGAACAACTTCTCATGGTAACATGTCTCTCCAGTACTATCATCAACTTCATTTTTTTAAATACGATCCTGAATATTTTATTACATTTTTTGCAAGCCTTGATGACCTCCAAATCTGTACTGCTTTACCCCGAGTCAGATTCAGACGTTTTGTCTCGAAAAATTCATCTTCAATATATTTGTTCCAAATTTTCCTAAATTTTTTATTTAGATTTCTTTGTATATTGAATTATCGTACACTCTAAGTGTCGTTGGATCCTGTGAAATCCACCTAGTTATTTATACTATGTATTACCATTTTAGGCTAAAATAAGCTCACCATCACACGTTACAATAAAACATTATTAGAGTTTTAATCACGTGATCATAGTTATTTTTAGGTTTCTCGAGGGCTTAAAATTCAAACAAATTTCGATCTATTTTTTTTCAGGATATTCATACAAGTACATCTGACATGCTTTTTCGCAGTTGCAGTTACAGTAGTTATAATAAATTCCGATCATATTACGTTTATCTTCATTTTCAGCATTTGCCAAAATGGAAACATTTTTGAACATTTACTGTAATTTTTTGAAGTATAATATTCATTTGGAGTTTTGGTTCTTATGCATTTTTAAGAATTAATTTGTCATAATGAAATTCAAATTATTGTAATAATGTCTTTATTTAATTTAATTAATTAATTTTGACGCAACAACTTATCAAGTTATGTATGGCCAGGTGATGGTAATAGTTTAATTAACTAGGTGGATTTCACAGGGTCTAACGACACTTAAGAGTGTACAATAATTCAATAAACATAGAAATCTAAATAAAAAAATTAGATAAACTTGGATCTTGGAACATTGAAGATGAATTTTTCGAGACAAAACGTATGAATCTGATTGAGGCTGAGGCAGTACAGAATTGGAGATCATGAAGGCTTGCAAATAATGTAATAAAATTTCCAGGGTTGTATTTAAAAAAATTAAGTTGATATAGGGAACAAGTTGGCATGAGAAGGTTTTCTTCTTTTTTCAATATCACCTCAAACATGGCTGAAATGAAACAAAGACGGATTTTGAAAATTTTGGTTTTTTTTTTAATATTCCGAGATCCCTGTAGTGAGAAGCGAATTTGTAACAGCCTGTACATGCTGTTTAGACCATAGGTACAGGGGTGTTAATTTTAAGACAATTACAGTGTGTTTACAAATTTGGAAATTGGTTTTTTATTGACGTATCAATAGATTCAGTATGTTATTTTGGTATAGCACAAGAGTAATGAGTTGGAACCCGATACATACATACATCCAAAAGTATTTCTTCAAGAAGATCTGATAAATCATTTTCAGAAATTCAGAAAAATTTCATTGCAGGCAAATTTAGCTTGTCTCAGAATAAAGTTGTAGCAGGGAAGTCCCTGTGTTGATATTTCGCCATATACAAAATCGGTGAGCAGTAGATATATTGAATATTGAATTAAAAAGCAGCCAACTATTAATTTGCCTTTTTCTTTCACCTCCACTGTTTACATGGAATCGTTTTCTTTGCAGGTGTATAAATCTTTGGTGGCTATCGTTATATTTTTGTCGGCACACTAACATATATTTTTTCTCCACCCAGTGCAACCTAATGCAAGTATTAATAAAAGAACTATTAGCCTGAGTGGATTGAGTGCTTCATATATTGAGTTAAAAGTAACAGTTGGAGCAAGCAGTATTCAATTATACATGTTATTAAAAAAACATATTTTCTTCTGGGTAGCTTTTGCAAAGGTTAACTTTTACTAATCGGCTTTTATCGTGACTCTTCCAATTAAAAATAATTCTGCAAGTTTGAAAACACCCTATATTATAGTCATTTATACAAGTTACTTGTGAAATGTACACAAAAAGTAAGAAACTGTAGGAGGTAAAGAACTAATTTACAAAAATGATAATACATATATTATTCTGGTGGTTAGAATATAGGTACATCTCTTCTAGGTTTTTGCCAACGATCATCCTGAGAGGGCAAAATTGATAAGGACATTCATGTTCTTTGGGTTTACAGTGTTATCTCCAACCTCTCCACTAATGCCTCCATCGTTAGCCTCAGGCAATGTGTGCATGGTATATAACATCGAGGAGTAGTCTACCCCCAGCAGAGCCTCGGTCACTTCGGTTTTGTTCACCTTAGTTTTAAATATCTTTTGTGATGTCCCATAGTTTCTATTTAAAGCTTTCAAACAGCTTACACTTGCGCCACTTTTGCTTATTTTCATCTTTAGTATTGTATGATTGTCTGTTTGTCAAAGGCAAAGGTAAATTTCATCTCTTTCACATCGTACAAGTATACATCACTTTCTTTTTCTTATATTTAGGTGTGTTATAGTATATGTATTTGTTCTTTCTATTTAACAATATGTAGTTTTATATTATTAAATTTATATTTAGGTATATTGGCTGGTGAACAAATCTAGGTGGTAAATTTAAAGCGGCAGTGCGAAAATATTGTGCCCCTATATATATATATTAACAAAAAAAAACAAAAAAAAATCATATAAGACTAAACAATTAATAATGGTTGTTTATTATAAAGTATATTTCATTTATAAGTTTTTTGTAACCTTTAAACTTTGATCAATATGCCATTATTTTTTGTTGTTTGTGTCGTTTAGTGTTAACATAGTTTTAAGTATCCATTTTCAGTTTAATCTTTTATCACTCATTCCACAGTTATTATATTCGTCTTTAGCGAAATTTGGTCATTGTATTGAATACTTTCATAAATAAATCATATTTTAGTTAAAAAGTGTTTTAATTACCGTAACATCTAAAATATGCTCATGTCTTGTGCCGTAAGATGGATAAACATTTCATACAGTCGGGAGGCTTTCAGGTTAAGCTGGAGAGAAGGCTATTAATGATGATTTAAAAAATTGCAATTGTTTATTTGGAAATATAAAAATAATTACATATACAGGTTCGGAAAGTCCCCATGGTACATCGGCCATTACGTGAGAGCGATAAAGTAAGTCATAGAAATCCGTGTGATAGACAAGGATGATTACATTGAAGACGTTTCATAATGTGAATAGTCACTCTCACTTTTAACCCGAAACGGGCGGTGTCTATTCAGATTAGGAAACGTCATCACTATAGCCATCCTTGTCTATCGCACGGATTTCTTTACTTTGTCTCTCATGTAAAGGCTGATGGACCATGTGGATTTTCCAGCTCTGTATATCTAGAAACAATAAATTAACATAATTGTTGGAAACAGCATAAGGTTTTAATCCTACCCATGCTGAGAGCATCATGACATCATGACACCTTCAGAATTGGTTTTATAAGCTACACCATAAGAGTAAATAAATAAGAAGATTTATTGGATAGGGCGGACGGAGCATGCATTCACTGAGGCCATCTCACGTTGGTGCAGCAAAACATTGTCCTTTATAGAAATTGTTAAACAGCAATCTGCAACCACAGATCGAATCTGTAGGCTTTTTTTCGCGACTAAATATTGGTGAATATCTGACTTGTGGTCACTATTTCTATCTCTTTTGATCTTGGTTGTCATATGGTAGTTTAAATCTCTTCACTCACTCATATTACACATACCACAACATACGACTTCACTCGCGAAAAAAAGCCTTGTATTTCCAATCTTTCAATCAACAGAAATATAATGCGTTGACTGAAATATATCGATCAACGTAGAATGAATGTTTGAGGTAATAGTTTATCTTCAGGACTTCAGGTAGGTTGCCGCGTTTTATGCATTAATAAATTTGTTTTGTTTTAGATTAATATAATAACGGATTTATTGAATCAATCGTCTGAACTGCCTTACTGTTTTTATTCGTTTTTTTTCCAAAATGAGTTTACCTGGTAGAACTAAATGTCAATGTTTTCTAAATTGCAAAAGCATTTCTTACTATATGAATATCTGTAATACGTTCTGTAGAAATAAAAGTTTTTTGAGAATTACAAAAGACAGACAGTTACAGATTACTGTGGATACCAATCAGTTCGAAAATTATGTAAATCATAATTTACTCCGACAATCACATTATTTTTGTAAACACCATTTGAGTAAAAAATGTTTAAAAAACGGTAATAGGAAGTGCTGTGCCGCCATTATTTTTAGGATCAACTACAAGTTTACCCATTAATTGTAATAATATCACCTCCGAATCCTCGGATAGTATTCAACATTCAGCAAATTTTCATAGTACGAGCTGTCGAACTTTAATTTTGGATGATTTTTCACCTCCACCTTTTAAAAAACCGTGCCGCGCGCCATTATTCCATGGCTAGAAATTGGTCTCAATGATTTGGGATCGAGGGGGATTATCCCTCTTTATCCTGCCTCATCTCGTGCAGGCCTGGACAGCCTTCGTAAGTGGGCCTCATCCGTCGTCTACCCCGACCGCAAATGCGGCCGGTGTAGGCGCTTTGTGGGACCTTCTTTTGTTCTGGCTGGGCCGCGCCGGCTAGGGCCCTTTCTTCTGGCGCTCTTCTTGCTTCGCCGAAATGCATATGTTTAAATTTATTGTTATTTGCTATAAGTGCTATAAGTGTAGTATAATTAGATCGTACTGATGAAAACCAATTACTTCAAAATAAATGTATCTAACCATAATTTTTGTCAAGTAAGTCACTGTTCAATGCATTTTACATAAAGACAGGTAAATAATTCTTTCAATTTGTTTAAAATTTGCAGTTTTTAATGGTTTCTTTAAAAAATAATAATTACATGAGTCTCCCTGTACATTTTTTTGATACTTAAATATTTTCGAATTCATAACAAAATGAATCACTGCTTTAACTTTTTCATTTAACCAAGTGATAATTAAAGTGTTTCATAAGTAATGGGTCATGGAACAGCTGTTAATGGTTCACGTTAATTTCAATGATTAACTTAAACTATTAATAGATGTTTTGTGATCTATTACTTATGAAACACTTTTTATTCTTTGTGTATTTTGTTACATTTAAATTTACCGCCATTATAGTGCAGCGACATCTATTAGATAGTAGAATTAATGGTTACTCTAACTGTGTTTTCCAATGCAGTTTCCTTAATTATTTTATGGTCTGTGGTTTCCGATTGTGTCGTTTGCTGCACCAACTACAGATGGCGGTACTCTGCCGCTGCTGCCGACGGAATACACAGAATAAAACCCCCTTATTTAGTTACTCATATAAGCTACACTATCAGCATTGTTCAAATATTCGATACAATTAACAGAGCTCCTTTAGAGCTCGCGCCATCTAGATGAACTAAAATAGAATAAATGGATTTGGAAAAAATGAACAGTTATTTAGTAAGGACAGAATTGTTCTACATACAGGGAGGCCCAATAGTGTGACAAGGTTCTCCCTTATTATAAAGATTTGAAAAGAAATACATATTTTATGGGAGTAATATGTACTTAAAAAAGCTCACACTTTAAAATATTTTGAATTATAAGGGTGATGCATTAGGGAGGAGCATCTTCAAGGTGGTTTTTCTTAAATGGAACAGTATATTTTTACAAATTTGTATTCGATGCGGCGATGCCAAGTTATTTGAAAGTATAATATAATTTTCGCTGGGACAGGGTTCTGTGCATGTACTACGAGTACCTAATTAAGAAAAAGTATTGTAGGCATGCGGACGAATAAGGATGTGGACAAACAAGAAAATAGCAAAATCTTTATAATTCTGTACAGGGTGTTCTACACATAAACCCCAGTTTAGCGATTTTCGAAGGACATTCTCTCGATTTTTTTAAATGAAACACCCGGTATATTATTTATTGTTTTAGGTATTAGATATGTACAGTGTAGGAAAGTACCGATGGTCTATCAGAAGTTACGTGAGAGCGATAAAGTAAGCCATATAAATCCATGTGATAGACAAGGATGGCTATAATGAAGGCGCCTAATAGTCAACGCCCATTTCGCCCTTCCACAAATAAGAAGTGGATCTTATTTGTGGAAGAGCGAAACGGGCGGTGACTATGAGAGGCCTTCATTATAGCCATCCTTCTCTATCGCATGGATTTCTTTGGCTTACTTTATCGCTCTCACGTAACTTCAGATAGACCATCGGTACTTTCCTACCCTGTATATGCTTTTAAAACCAAAGCTTTTAGTTTAGACCTAGTAAACTAGTAGTTTATAAGATCTACGTTTAAGTTAGACATACAGGGTGTTCTGATTTATAGTTTTTTTTTGTAGATTACATGATTTAAGAAATGAAAACAAAATTATTTTAATATTTTGTTTAAAAAATGTTTATAGTATTCTTTCTAATATGCATTTATAAACATAACATTATTTTATACTCCCTGGCTTAATTTACAGGCTGGTTGACATTAAAACGAAATTCGCTGTGTTTATGCGAAAAAAGATAGCGAGCATTATTTGAGGAAAAGTTATACCTACATGTCATACAATTTTGTGAAGATGAAAGTAAAGAATATAAGATTGGTTGGAAAAGAAACTTGGCATTTTTATACGAAAATAGGTATATGACGAATTTCAGAAAAATTTAAATCACTTTTTTAAGAATTTTATTGATTTATATAATAAACATTTTCATTTTGTGAATTATTAAAAAAGTATCGAGTTTACCACCAGTATCATATTAAGAATAAATATTTCGATATTCTCAGTAATATTTTAATAATTTTCGGTTAATAATAATTTATATAAATAAATATTAGCAAAAATTACTTAAAATTTTTCGGTAATACCTAAAATTCTTATATGAACTATATTCTGGATAAACACTGTTTTTGCCACTTCGTAAAAAATTTCCGCATTCAATGTATCATGTATGAGTGTATGCTTTATTTCAATACCTAGTTACTGTATAATTACTATCCAATTGAGAAAACGTCCTACTATTGAGAAAGCGTCCTATGGTACCTAATCGACTTGACCGAGGAAATAATAAAATTTGATATAAATTCCTTAAATTTTTTCTGTAGCACATTTTTTCTTATACGAATAATAAAATTTCTTATAAATGCAATTTTCAGGATTTCGCTAAGATATATTTTCGCTTTCGTTGTAACATTCGTACCAGGCTTAATGCGATTCTTTTTAAATTATTATAGATTAATTAGCAAAAAGTGCAAAATTACTATTCTTGTTCACATTAATTGAAAAAAAAAACAATAATAATAATTAGTTTAAAAATTAAAATAAAACAGTTTAAGTAAATGATCCATACAATTTTGAAGATGAATAGAGTCCGACGGCAAAAAGAATTGATATTGATAATATAGTTGTTCCAAATTGGCACCTAAAATAGACCATGGGCTTAGATTATGTAATTTTGAGACCTAATTTTCAGTAGTTACGTTCGTTTGTTTTCCATTTATGATTTTAATGGCTTGTACACCGAAAGGGACAATCTGTACCTGTATGCAAATTATTTAGTGATTTGTTTATTGATAATCAAAATAAAAAAAATGAATGCTGCTCCTCTACGGTGCCTCCCGCTTGGGTTGCTGATGGACGTCCTGGCTGTAAGGATTTAAGAAAAGTTTGCATAAGACTCAAAACCTTCTATGTACATCAGTCCAACTCGATAAAGGAAAGTAAATTGCTCCTAAAAAGAAAAAAAAATCAGTTCAATGATTTAAGATGCTTATCTATGTATCTTACAAATTAGCACTTACACGATAAGACAAAATTTACTCCCCAGCTCTCATGTGTATTCTGTACAATAAATAGTAAGATAAAAGTTGAAAATGCCGAGAGTGGAACCGTTTTCGAGAAAATTTGGAAACAAAAAATCATGTTTTATAATTTTTCGTTTAATCTTAATAAACTTAGGTAAATACATGCAAAGAAACTGTTGAATATTAAAAACGGAAAACGTTTCGGTTTGTATAAACCGAAATGGGCACGAAACTTCTTTATTTCCTTAATAAATCCCCAAAAAGTATCACCATTTTCATTGCCAATACATGCTTGCAACGTACCTATGAGAAAAGTTTCTGGCAACAGAATTAAAATTTAAGAGCTGATGGGTCTCATGAATAAAGTTTGTTTTAACGAGTACAAGTAAAAGCAAATACTTTAATTTAAAAGGTTGCAGGAAAATCACTTGCTTCATTTTAAATGAAGCTCTTGCTTTTGCTTTAGTAAATGGTTCAGGCTTTACAGCAGATGCTGTGCTCTGTATCCATCTATCTTTGATTAAAATTTGTTATAGTATCCACTTTAGCTTACAGACGCATTGCTCCCAATGGAATATAATCTACAAGGTGTCCATAATTGGAAACTTCAAATAATGGTAACATTTAAAGCAAATCATTTGTACGAAATCGTGAACGATGATTGTATACTAATTAAAGAATGATGAAATCTGATTGGAATAAATGGGATGCTAAGGCACAAAGAATTATTGTAACAACTATAGTAAAATTGGAAATATAGTACACAAACGTACGGCATTAAACCAAGTAATCGATGATTATTTAAAAAATATTGTTAACTTTGCTCGTACATTACAGGCCTTTTGTATCTTAAGGATATAAAAACTCATATTTTGGGAAAGTTTGGTAAGATTTTATTAATTATTTAAAAAGTTATTAACAATTAAAAAAAAGCACTTTTCCGTTTAATTTTGCAATAACTTTTTTGTTTATAAAGCAATTTTAACTTATAAAGTCTCATTTTAAAGATGAGTTTCTCTAGATCAAATCGTGTGTTGAACTTTTTTGCTAAGATTAATAGTTTTTTTACAATAACGCGTAGAACGAAAAATGACGAATTTTTGACCTATTTGTTGATAAAAAACAATGACTTTTTTCATGACTTATTTGATGAGACGCCTTTTGTATTATCATTCCCAAGACTTTCCAACAATAAAATCACGCCCAGTAATATTTACGAGTTCTCCATGATTTTTCACCTTTATTTATTGGTCTATGAGAGGTAAACGTTTGGGGTACACTTGAAATTATGTACCTTTCAGTGAGAAACTTACTTCACTGGCGACAAACTGTTTCCTGTTATGTCGTATAGTTCTAACGGCCAGACAAACATCACATTCCTGCTCCAACTTCATTTTGTCTATCAAAAATGTCGATGCTATGTAAAGGCCACTAGCTGTAGCTCCATCGCTAGAAATTTAATTCAGTTCATTATAATTTGTTTGAAACATTTTCCGAAAAAAGTAATACAAAATCGTGGAAAATATATACACCTAAATACAGGGTGTCTCATAATTAGCTGCCAACCCTGAACAGGACGATTCTATGATCAAAACTAAGTAAAAAAGTTCATATGAACATGGATCCGGAAATGCTTCCTAAGGGCACAGGGACCCATTGAAGAGGGAGGAATGGAAATCATTTTTTTGCAATATCTCTCAATCGCGTTGTGATAAATGAATGAAATTTGGTATACACAGCTAAATTTTGATGAGCAATTTGATGGACTAATCCATTTATTTCCACAAGGTCCATTGGGGTGGGTACGGGGGGGCCCTTGGTACTTTGCGTGTGTAACTTTTTCATCTTTGACTTTTTAACAAATTGGACAGCAAATTCCGTTTTCCCGAACTGTTTTACGTTAAAAAGGTACTCTTGTTTCAAATCGTTATCTTTAACGGTTTCTGAGAAAATCGCTCTTGAATTAATCCCACTTTGGTCAATTTCATAGTAATTTAAACAAAAAAAATTTTTTTGTTTAAATTTAATCTAATTTTAATAAAAAAATAATAATAAAAAATTAAATTAAATAAAAATTAATCCTTTAAATGGAAAAGAGAGGAAAGGAAAATTATTATTATTATTTTTTGTTTAAATTACTATGAAATTGACCAAAGTGGGATTAATTCAAGAGCGATTTTCTCAGAAACCGTTAAAGATAACGATTTGAAACAAGAGTACCTTTTTAACGTAAAACAGTTCGGGAAAACGGAATTTGCTGTCCAATTTGTTAAAAAGTCAAAGATGAAAAAGTTACACACGCAAAGTACCAAGGGCACCCCCGTACCCACCCCAATGGACCTTGTGGAAATAAATGGATTAGTCCATCAAATTGCTCATCAGAATTTAGCTGTGTATACCAAATTTCATTCATTTATCACAACGCGATTGAGAGATATTGCAAAAAAAATGATTTCCATTCCTCCCTCTTCAATGGGTCCCTGTGCCCTTAGGAAGCATTTCCGGATCCATGTTCATATGAACTTTTTTACTTAGTTTTGATCATAGAATCGGCCTGTTCAGGGTTGGCAGCTAATTATGAGACACCCTGTATAGATAACATTTTTTAAAGTTATTACGTTTTGATTGAAAAAAGTAAGCGGGATTACATACAGGGTGTTTAGAACTACGAAAACTCAGAAGTAAAAATAATACTGTTCTATACAAAGTTGTTTTTGAATGTGTTTAAGTTTAAAAAGGTTGCAAATTCAAATTTTTCAAAATTTTTTACAATTTTTTTCGTTACCTATCTTTTTTACAATTTTACATTGAATATTTCAAGCCGAGAAATTATTTTTTTAATTTAAAAAGAAATTTGGATATATGTATGTATGTATATATTAGATTTTTTTTTAATTTTGAATTTTAAAACTTTTTTCGATATTTGATGAGTATTTAACGGGAAATTGTGAGAAAAATAACAAGAAAATTTTTTTTTCATATTTGACGATTTAGGAAAGGAAAACGGTTCAACCGATCGATTTCAAAATTTACAGGCCTTACGGGCATGTAATGAGCTAAAAACAAACCTGCAAACATTGGTACTTATCGCAATATTTGCAAAGTAGTCGTTGATTTTCCAAAACAGCAAAAAAGTCATTTTTTGCACTTTTTCAAATGCCGAGTATAAAAAAAATCTCAAATATACCCAAAGGCCCTTGAAGAGGATTGATCCAGGTTTCTAAAACCCATCTTCCATTCGCTGTACGATCATTAGCTCATGAGATATCCATGATAAAAAAGGTGATTTTTCACTCACTATATCTCGATGAGAAATAATCTAACAGAAAATTAAAAAAAAACAAATTGAAGCTGATAAATCAAGCTAAATAACCCTGGCATTGATTCAGCCAGAAAAAAATTTCTTGACCCATGTGCAGTTTTGAAAAAATATATATACAGGTTGTTACAAATTCGTTTCTCATTACAGGGATCTCGGAAACGGTAAGAGGTACGAAGAAGCTTAAAAGGGGGCAAAATTGTGTAATCAGGGGACCAACATTATGTCTCTAAAAAATCAAGGCTAACATGATTAGTCTTCGAAATATTTGAAAAAAACCGAAATTTTGGAAATCCGTTTTTGTTTCATTTCAGCCTTGTTTGGAGGTGATATTGAAAAAAGAAGAACACTTTCTCATGACCACTTTTTGCCCTCTATCGAATGGCATAATCAACTCTTATATGTAACGTTTCGTCTCTCCAGGAGCATCATCAACTTCGTTTTTTTAAATACTACCCTAGAAATTTTATTACAAGCCTTCATGACCCCAAATACTGCCTCAGCCCGAACCAGGTTCAGACGTTTTGTCTCGAAAAATTCATCTTCAGTGTATTCGTTCCAAATTTTTCTAAATTTTCTATTTAGATTTCTTTGTTTATTAAATTATCGTACACTGTAAGTGTCGTTAGGCCCTGTGAAATCCATCTAGTTTTTAAACTATTATCACCACGCGTTACAATAAAACATTTATTATTATTAACTATTGCCATCACTTGGTCATATATAATTCAATAAGTTGTTGCGCCAAAATTAAAACATTATTACAATTTTAATTTTATTATGACAATTTAATTCTTAAAAATGCATATGAATAATCAAAATTTCAGTAAATGTTCAAATACATTTTCGTTTTGGCAAAGGTTGAAAATGAAGATCAGCGTAATATTATCAGAATTTATTATATCTGTATCCGCAACTGTGAAAGAGCATGACAGATATATTTGTATGAATATCCTGAAAAAAAAATAGATCCGAATTTGTTTGAATTTTGAGCACTTGAGAAGCCTAGAAATAATAATATGGACACGGGAATAAAACTAATAATTTTTTATTTTAATGCGTGGTGGTAATAGTTTAAATAACTAGATGGATTTTACAGGGTCTAACGACACTTACAGTGTACAAATATCATTCAATAGTATTCAATAAACAAAGAAATCTAAATAAAAAATTTGATAAATTTGGAACGATAACACTGAAGATTAATTTTTCGAGACAAAACGTCTGAATCTGGTTCGGACTGAGCCAGTACAGTATTGGGTGTCACGAAGGCTTGCAAAAAATGTAATAAAATTTCTAGGGGTATTTAAAAAAATGAAGTTGATGATGGTCCTGGAGAGACAAAACGTTACACATTAAAATTGATTACGCCATTCGATAGAGGACAAAAAGTGGCCATGAGAAAGTGTTCTTCTTCTTTAAATATCACCTCAAATAAGGCTAAAATGAAACAAAAACGGATTTCCAAAATTTCGGTTTTTTTCAAATATTTTGAAAACTAATCATGTTAGCCTTGACTTTTTAGAGGCATAATGTTGGTCCTCTGAATACGCAACTTTGCCCCCATTTAAGCTAGTTTGTGTCTCTTACCGTTTTCGAGATCCCTGTAGTGAGAACTGAGAAGCGAATTTGTAACAGCCTGTGTAATAAAATTTTTGCCTCGATTGCGATGAGTAATGCTGAAAAAAATTTTTCATCTCAAGATTTCAAAACTAGAATCTTCAAGCTTCATGTAGAAAATTAAATGGAGAATAGGCATGTTTAGTCAAAAATGACATACAGTGCAACACAAATAAGTTATGGTTACTTAAATCCAGATACAACACTGGATGTGGCGCCCTATAATTTTAATAAAAAACTAAGTAAATATTTAAGTTTCTCATCATTAATACTCAAGAACCAACCCAGGTTCGTAAGAACATTTTATCTTAATCTATCTAATTAGTCAAAGATTCACGCTTTAAGGTTTGTATAAGTACTTAATAAACACCCTGTCTATATAAATTTAATACTATACCGGGTGTCACATAACAATATGTCAAAAATGTCCATACAAACAGAACTGAATTTTTTCCAAAAAGGCTATCAACATATTTATCATAATATAGGAATATGTATCGTGCAGTTGCAAAAAATAAAAATAATTGCAAAAAAAATAATAAAAATAACTGCAAACAAAATAATATAAAAATATGTAGGTATCGTATAATATGTATCGTGCAAACCAAATTTCGTTGCAATATAGGTTCCTATACTTAGGTATCATTTTAATGTTGTATATCTCAAAAAACGGCGGTGTCTCGAAAACAAATTCATATAGCAGTGTAATTAATTTAACTTCCTCTATGGGTTTCATATTTAAAATTGGAGATACCTTGTAGATGAGAAACAACAAAATTTTCAAAATCTAAAGACAAAAATGTATGTTTTAAAATATCCTAGGAAAAACACAGTTTCGCTATTATTTAATTTTTGAAATAGTAATACTCACTAGCATGTCACAATAACTGTGTCGGACTTTCTTGATAAAATGTCACATTCCTCCCAAAACGTTAAAAAGTTTTCAACACTGGTTGGTAACAATTCACTAGGCATCCAATCGTGCATAGATATTATTTTTACTTCCATACTTTCATTCTGAAAAATATTCCACAAGGAATCAGTTTATCCAATTAATTATTGGCATCTTTGAATATAGATGGCATAGTAGAGTTCTTAGAATACTTACTTCTTTTTTATTTATCATTTCTACAGTGATGATTCGGTAAGATTCCAACTCTTTAGTATTTATACAACTGACCCTTAGGTAGTCTACTGGAGTCATTTCGGATCCCTTTTCTGGCCAAAACCGACAAGAAGTCTATAAAAAATAAACAACTGGAAATTGCTGTGGAATAATTATCTACAATAACGCAGGCACACAAAGAAAAGTCCAGACACAAGAGACCCACATATCTATTCCGAAGGAATTTGATGCGCTTAACACTGTAGTCAACGTTCATGACTTGCTGATGAATTTCAGAGAAAAGTGAAATTTTTGGGTGAAAAACAGGTATTTTCCTAAATTTTGTCCAAATATGTGATTTTCGTAGTATTTTGATGCGCTGAACGCGATGTCATTAATAATATTTACCCATGACCTTCATGTTTCTTAGAAAATCCACTATTTGGGTGAAAACTGGCCCAAATATGAGTAAACACCGATTTTTTCCTAAATTTTGTAGTACTTTGGCCAGTTTCCACCCAACTAGTGGATTATTTGAGAAATATATGGGTCAATCTTACTAATGGTCTCAGCGCTTCGAATTCCTTTGGAAATATGTGGGTCTCTTGGGTTTGGACTTTTTTTGTGTGTTCCTGTATAATTGTTCGTATTATTTCACAAAAAATATACATTATCTGATCATCGCCTTACCACGTTTTTTCGGTCGATTTCGTTGAGAGACACGATTACAGTGCACTGTCTCTCCCATACCATTCTCCAGAAATCTCCAACAGTGTTTGGTAAGGGTTGTTGGGAAACAATAAATCTGCCCGGACTCCGAAAACCATCTACTTGCACGGCGTTGATGTAAGATGACGATTCGTCAGTATGAGGATAATATTTCAGGCGAATTTGGTAGTTCTTATCTGAAATATAATGCGTAATATACAGGATGTCCCGAAATTAGCCTGCAATATTTTATCTTCAATTAAAAATATGAGAAACAGTTCTTATGAATATAAGCGAAGAAACGACTCGTGATGGGATTACAAAGTGTAAGTGCTTAAAAATTTTCCTATGGAAATAATTGATAACACAGGCCGATAAAAACAAAAAGGTTTTGTCTTTTAGATCAGATCTGGTTTTTCCTTTGTATTTTGATGTCCTTAAAACAAATTCTAGGCTTAGAAAAAATTCTGACGCAAGAGTTTTCCACAAATCACCTTCAAATGCAACCTTTCATACGCAGTCTCTTACGTCAAAAACTTTGAAAATCTTCTGTTCATATCACACAAGTCTTGCTGAGTGGCGTGGGGTTATCAAAAAATGCCAGAGAACCTGAAAATCGCACAAGATCGCACATATAAAGGTGATTTGTGGAAAACCCTTACGTCAGATTTTTTTCTGACCTAACCTAACATCAAAATACATAGGAAAACATGAATTACTGTGAAATACCAGTAATTCTGTTTCAGTAATATTAAAAATTACATAGCCACAAAAAAAATCGGTTTGGGGGTCTGACTATGTATACTGTATGTTTATGTACCTAGGAAAAAAGAGTCTTATAGACTCGTCTATCGGATTTACTCTATGACAGATGCTCTAATAATAATAAATTCTTGCCCTGAAAAATGGTCGCAATTATTTTGAATTTTAAATTATTAGAATATGTTTCGCCATTTTTTAACTTATTGTAACTCGTAATTATTAATTACTGTATTGATCACAGAACATTGTTTGATTTCATTTAATAGAATTTTTTTTGGCTTAATACCTTCAAAAAAACTAAAAATATTTTACGACATGCTTTCACGAGATCTATTTAACAAAAAGTTTGTTAAAACGGACATCAATCCGTTCATTTGTTGTGAAAAGCAGCAATTGGACCATATCCAAAAGAAAACTAGTTTTGGCACGGATCGATTATCTGTGAATCTACTTAAGAAAATATCAGTACACATTGTCGATCATATTGCATACCTAATTAATTTATCCGTTAGTACTGGACAATTTCCCGAATCATTAAAATGTGCAACTGTTGTTCCTATCTATAAAAACAATGATCCGGGACATTGCCAATTACAGACCAATATCGTTGTTGAGTGTTTTCTCCAAGGTGCTTGAACGTGCAGTCTTGAACAGGGTAACAATTTTTCTTGAAAAATACAAGATAATGACTAATTTCCAACACGGTTTCCGTTCTGGTAAATCTACCCAGTCAGCGGTTTGCAGTCTGACAGAGAATCTATAAAAATTTAGACGAGGGAAGACACGTAGCTAGTTTTTTGGTTTCAGAGAGATATTCTTAGACTGGATAATCCAATTTTTATCTAACAGGTATATGCATATTAAAATTAAAGAAGCCTTGTCTGTCAATCAAAGTGTCACTCTGGGTGTTCCTCAGGGATCGGTGCTGGGACCGATAATTTTTCTATTATTTATAAATGACTTGCCTACTTATATGAATTCTGCTGCTATAACGCTATTTGCTGACGACACATCTGTTATGGCTTCAGCTCCGACCCATGAGGAACTCGTTAGAGTTTGTGAGAGCTATATTACCTGTTTTGACAAATGGTGTCAATCAAATAGCCTTATCTTGAAATTAATATACCGAAAATAATTTACTTCCATAATAAACCTGTAAAAGACACAAAATTGTATTTAAACTTTGATAAAATAATTTTGGAATCATCCGAAAGTACCAACTTTCTGGGTGCTGGATCTTGACTGATGCAATTGTGTGCCTTAATAAATGTTTATTATTGTATATAGCTATTTATCTTATAATGTCATTTTATGGGGTTGTGCTTATGGGGCAGTTATAGGGTCTTTCTAGCGCAGAAGCGTATAATTAGAAGTATATTTAATATAAAGTGTCGTGAAACTTGTCGGAAGATTTTTATTGAGAACTGAATCTTAACTTTTCCATGTATCTATATATTTTTAAAGTATTATTGTACGTCAAGGAGAATATTCATAACTTTACAAATAATTCTAAAATTCATAACTTCTCTACCCGAAATTGTGACCTGTTTTGTATTCCTAAACATAAAACTAAAAAATTTGAACTGTCAGCGTACTATCAAGGAATAAAATTTTATAATAAATTACCGACACTATATAAGATAATGGATATTAATAAATTTAAGGTTTCAATTAGAAAATTGTTACTGATCAAGTGCTATTACACTATTAAAGATTTTACCGATGACAATCTCTAACTATGTATGTATTATCTGTTTGTTTGTCTTGATTTATGACCTGTCCTATACATGTAAATGTCTAAATGGATTAATAAATATTATTATTATTATTATTATTATTATTATTATTATTATTATTATTATTATTATTATTATTATTATTATTATTATTATTATTATTATTATTATTATTATTATTATTATTATTATTATTATTATTATTATTATTATTATTATTATTATTATTATTATTATTATTATTATTATTATTATTATTATTATTATTATTATTATTATTATTATTATTATTATTATTATTATTATTATTATTATTATTATTATTATTATTATTATTATTATTATTATTATTATTATTATTATTATTATTATTATTATTATTATTATTATTATTATTATTATTATTATTATTATTATNATCCATAAAAAAACTTGTTCTGTAATTATTTGCAAAATAGCATACCTGGTACGATATCCTCAAATCTATTTTTTTCCGGATATACCGGCGTATTGTCCTTGCTCCAAATAGTATCCATAGCTCTATCCTCCCATTCTGTGTCACTCAAATATCTCAGCTGATTGGCAACGCTATCGCCGGATAATATTTTTGTGATAGCCTTATTCATGTTTTCATCACATGGTACAGACGTATGCATGCCGAACAAGCATTCGAGTACCACTAAATGAGCTAACTTGTATTGTTCAACATTATCGACCATGTTTGGCCGCTGGCTCCTCAGGTGTTCCAAATTTGCTAAAAAGTCTATGGAACCCTCACCAGCCGCCATACGAAGGCAGATGTCGCATAGAATTATGGTTCCTGTTCGACCTACACCGGCACTGGAATATTTAATTTTAGTTAACGTCATAATAGGATAAGTTCCGAAAATTTCTAAAAACTTTCGGAACTAGTAACTCGTAATACCTCTAAAATGTCCGGAAAACACCTAATTACATCGAAGTAATTTGGAAACCTTAAATTACTTAAAAATATGTAAAAATACTTCAAAACATACTTAAATAACTTGGAAATACTTTACGAAAACCTAAAAATACTTCGGAAATCGCCAGTTCCTTTAAAATAAATAAAAATACTGCAAAAAAACGAAATATCAAGACAATATTTATTCTCTAATATTTGAGTTTCAATCGTTAACCGTTGAATTCAAATAACTGATCCTTGACCTCCGATCAATGAACTTTGACTTTCGATCATTGATATTCAATTTGCGATTATGACTTTGTACTTTTAGACATTGACTTTTATCCTTTGACATCTGGTCATTGGCATATGTCACTGACCTTTGGGTTTTGGTCACAGGTAATTGGCCTTTGGTCTTCGATTTCCAATCATTGACATTTAACGTTTAAGCTCCCTTTGCAATTGATTAACTGATCTATTACCTTTGACTTCCTTTGACATTGGATCTTCGACTATTCATATTTGATCTCAGGTTAGTCTATTTTATGTTATATGTTATATTTTATGTTTATATTGTTTCTAATGGAGATGTAATAGAACAGTATTTTAACCTAGACCGATACGAGTGCGTACTACAATGTTTTTTAATTGGTTTTTTTTTTATAAAACCTAGTTTATTTAATGCATTTTTAATAACATTTGGAATTTATTGTTTAGTTATAATGATTGCACCAAATATAAATCAAGCTGTATCTGTAGTATCAGTCATGAGACACAGCGAAAAAACCTTTTAAGTCATCAGGTTAGATCATCTGTTAATTTCAAAAAATAAAGGACCAAGGTTAGATCCCTGAGGTGCATCAGATAAAGCGATATACACTACAAATATAAATCGTGAACGAGAAGCTATTTTGCAGTGTTTGGAAGTATTTCGGATATTCAAAACGTTTTGTAGTTTCAAGACATTTCGACTTATTTAGAGATATTCTAAAAACTGCGATGTATTTTAAAATATTTTGTTTTTTTCGCTTTTTGAGGCAAGAAACAAATCTAAATGTAGTAGTTTTTTTACCAATGTTTCTGTTAAAAAGTAGTTCTCCTGAAACATACCTGCAATGGACGAGTACTGGAGATTGTGGGTTATTAGGAATTTTTAGCATTTGTTGGAGGAATGGCACCAAACTTTGCGAATACAATGGTACTCCGTGATCGGGCCAAGTTGTAAAATGTAATTGATCGACCTTAAACAGTACACATAATTATGTAAAATACTGGAAAAAAAATACAGCGATAAAGTTACATATTTAGCATTGAATTATTTCTGAAAGAAAAAACAGCAAATAAATCTCAGCAAAATAATTTTTCCGAAAAACGCCGAGACAGGTAATTTTTTATCGAAGGGGAACATCTTTTCACATATGTTACAGACTACTCCTACTACTACTAGGGAGGGGGGGCAACCCCCAAAAATCTTAATAGGGAGGGAGGGTTAAGTGACACATCGTTTTAAAGGTACTCTAATCCTGTACACAACCGTCTTTTATTTTTTGAATTTGACTGATTATTTTTGGAGATACAGGTTGTTAATAAAAAAACTACTTTTACAAATTTATTTGCAAATATGTCGGACAATTAACTGTTCAAATTCATGACCTCCAGCCCATACAGTAATATAAGTTTTGTAAAAATCGTTTACGCACATTTTGTAACATTTCTGGAGTAATTTGGCATTCGGTGACAATGCGTTGGGGTAGATCTTGGGGAGTATGTGGAGTGAAATAAATTTTTGACTTTAAGTGACTCCACAAGAAAAAGTCCAAAGGAGACAAATTCGGCGATCTTTCAGGTCATTCTATGACGCCTCTTCTCCCAATCTACGATCAAGATACTGCCGGACAGGCAGGGTGTAGTGTGGGGGAGCGCCATCCTGTTCGAATATCAACTGGTCTTTGTGATAATTTTCATTATTCTCGATAATGTTTGTCAACGCTGAACCAATGTTGTTCTCAAACAAACCTCGGTACATCTCTCCGGTGAGATTACTTGGTAAGAAAAAGAGACCAACAATACGGTCACCAAAAATTCCAGCCCAGACATTGAATTTTTCCGGATGTTGTGTATGACTTTCATAAAATATTCTAGGGTTACAATCCGACCAATAACGACAATTATGACGATTGACGGTGCCATTAACAGAAAAAGAACAGAAGATGAATGAGCCTCGACCCTTCCGCCTCATGGTCATAAGCACATATATCTACTTTCATTATAAGATTCGTAATTTGTACTAATATTATAAAGAGGAAAGATTTGTATTTTTGTATGTATGTATGTTTCTTACGAATAAACTCAAAAACTACTGGACGGATTTCGATAATTCTTTCAGCATTAGAATGCTACATTATCCCTGAGTAACATAGGCTATATTTTTTACTAGAAAAAAATAGGGATCCCTCCTAAAACTTCAATAAGGTAAACCAAAGTATGAAAAAAATTGCCAAAAAAATGTCTTTCATCGCATGCGCTGCGGAAATTATGAATGATAGAACAAAAAAATGTCCTACAATATTAAAGAACATATCTATAAAAAACTTCGCGGTAAGAAAAGGTTTCAATTACTATTATCTTATTTCCATTGTTAAAGTGATGTTATTCATCACGATAGCAATAACAGCAGTTAAAACGCAACAGACTCTCATCATACCTACTCATTTTTAGAGGAACATCGAAATTGAGCGTACCTACATGTCGGAAATTTTGGATTGATAGAAGATAGTGGCAAAAGTGTATTCAATGCTCTACAACTTTGTTTCTAACAATTTTTCTGAGAAACGATCGTGGGAGACACTAGAAGAAATGTTTGAAAAAAAAGAGGTAAAAATGACTTTTTCGAAAATTATCGATTTTCAATAACGTAGGTATATCTCGAAAACTGTTGGGAATTCGACAAACACGTAAAGCAACAATTCTATAGGAAATTTCCTTCTCTAGGAGATAGAGTTTCTAACAAGAAATTTATGTGAAAAGATGTCCAACTTCGATCAAGAATCGATTGTCCTGACGTTTTTCGAAAAAATATTTCTCCTGAGAATTGTTGTTTTATTAAGTTTGCTAATTAATTGCGTATGCATTAATACTTCTTACTTACCTCTCTTTGTTCGTTTCTGTTATAAACTTTAAATACCCTATATTCATAATTTGCATATACTTTTGATGATACATATTGAACACGTATTCCATTAAAATCAATTTCTTCATTGATGTTTGGCCAATATTTTTCAACTTTTTTCTAAAAGTAAAATAAGTTTTTCAGTAAGGCGAATTTAATTAGTATACTAATTGTAAAAAGTTTCATATAAACAAATCATGTATGTTACCTTTCCTCCTTCATAGACATTAGCTAACATTACTATATTTTTAACTTTTTCTTGCCATATCATTCTCCAGAAGTCGTTAAGGGTAGTCGATTTAGGGCCTTGGGTAGCGATGTATGCCTTTTGGACTCTATATCCCTAAAGGCAAACACATAACTTCTAATATTCGTTTATAAATATGCAAAATAATAATTACCAGAAAACTACAAACTTTGGTCAAAATTAAGATACAGAGAAAAAAATCTTGACTTTTACTTGAACAAATATGGTGTGTTTTAATTTAATTTACTTTTTATTTTCATTTGATTGAACACCCTCGATTTTTAGAATCAATAAGAAAATATTTGTTGGTAATAAAAAAATAATCATTTTAATTTATTAAACCAATTATTTAAAACAAATGAATAGTTTTTCTATTATAATAAAAAACATATGTTATTAATATAAACTTCTCAATTCTTTGATTTACCTATGATTGTATATGTTTGTTACACAAATACGAGTATTCATAAAAATTTAATTAAACCAATTCTCTAAAACAAGTAAATACTTTTTTTGTTATAATAAAAAGGCATTTGTTTAATTTAACGCTTTATAAGAAAATATTTTTTTTGTTGCAAATATGTTTTTTCTTAATTTTAGTATTAAACCAATTATTTAAAATTAGTCAGTATTTTATTATTATTATTATTATTTTATTTTGATCATAAATAGTAAATGATATTTATTTTATTTAATAAATTTACGGAAAACATTTTTTTATGTCTTGAATGACCTACCTTTCGCGTTAAATTAAATAGGTATTTATTGCAAGCTACACTTTTGTTTGTTTGAAACAAAACTATATTTAATACAACTAATTTAAATTCTGAATTTTAACAATGATGGAAAAAAAAAAGATATATATCTGCTCCCACTATAGTAAATAGACTATTAATACAATGTTTTTAAGGAGGACTGCCATAGAAGTGGAAGAAAAAAGCGATTTCGATTTATAAATGCATATTTCATGAACAAATAAATAGAAATATTTGATGATCATTACATTTTATTAATTATTATGAATTAATTTTTATAGTAATTGTACAGTTATTACATTTAATAACATTTATAAAATTTGGATAATTATTCCCCTCGCGTTTACTAATTGTCACATTTTTCTTAAAATGATTTGGCCGCTCCATTTCAGTCACCGGACGTTCAATATTATCTGGCTGATCATTAAAACAGCATGATGCGAGGTAGTACTAGAACCTGGAGTTGAAGTGTCATTGTAGAGAATCCTGTTGGCTATTTAATGTTTGTTACTTAAACTGTCAGAAACATAACTTTCTGCAATTGTGGTTGATTTCCACCCACCATGTCTCGTAATTGCTAATACATCAACTCCTGTATTAGCCAGTAACGTTGCCGATGTTCTTCGGAATGAATGTCCTGTATATGTTTCAGGATGTTCTAGTTTCAAAAACTGTGCAATCTTATTCAGTCATAGAAAGGGTATTCTTGCCGACTGGTTGATTGTAACACCTATGTACTTGATAGCGCATAAAAAAGTGTGAAATTTCAGTTTTAATTTCCAATATAATCTTGATATATTTCTTGAGAATTTCTAGGTGAGAAACAGAACCCAGACGAGAAGTAATTATAAAACGTACGTGACATACCAATTTTAGAATCTGGAATTAACTACAATAATGTCATCTAAATTTTTTAAATTGGCGTTGTCCAATGTAATCTTGCATAACTCATCAGAACGGCATGTTCCTGCAATGTTTAAGACCGTCACTATCTTCATTAGCAAATATGCGTTATCGTGTGCCTGAACGAGAAAATCGTTACTTGTTCTCTTGTAAAAATGTTTGACTTTTTAGGTGTATAGCCATCATTCTTAAGTTTCAAAAATGCTCTCAGCTTGAGGTATTTTGATATATCCATGTTCACCTTTATGAAAATAGTTGACTTAATCATTCACAAACTCGCCGGTGACTTCTTCTTCTCCATGAAATATTCTAGCAGTGATATTTCAGAAACACCAGTATTTTTGCTCTGACACTATTTGAAATTTCTATATGCTCGTGCGTAGCGCAATTTCGACTTCTTGGGCAATAAAAATTCGCTGGCAGCATTTGTTGCACTTTTTATTTAAAAATCACTCATTTAGAAATAATAATTTAAAATCAGCAAAATTGCAACTTTTGTGTAGCTTTGTTTGTTTATAAACACCTTAGGAACTACAAAATCCAAACAACCAAGGCGACTTTGCAAGATTTCGAATAATGTCAAAATGAATTGATTAGGGAATGTCAAAAAATAAAACCTAATCTTTATTTCATGAACCATAAAGAACTGTGGTGGCAGATAAAATGTTTTACACCACGCAGCAGTTAAGTATAATTTACCAGTCTCGGACTCTATGCCAGCCCTCGCTCCGTTAGGGCGCAAAATCGTTCTCGACTGGTAAATAATACTTACCTCCTTTACGATGTAAATAACTATTATTTGACGAATCAATTACATTCTTAGCTTTTTCAAAAAGGTGCCTCAAATAAAATAAATATATTATTCGGATAGTAGTATTCGGATAGGCGTAAAATTCGAAGTCAAATCAAACAAATATTGAGGTCCACAGTATGACTCCCAGTGAATTATTTGCACTATCAGAGTTTTTTAAATTCAAATATATGTTTTACGTCAAGAACTACATAACAAACACTTTTCTGTCTGTCCCTGCCATCAATAGTAAATATTTATTTTGTTTTGCTAATTTTTATTTCTGAAAAATTTTAAGAATGTAGCTTTCCTATGTTGGAAAGACTGATTTGATTTACGAAAACATTGATTTGGCAGGCAAACAAGTAAATGTACATTTTAAGCACACGATAATAAAACAACATTAGGAAATGACCTACTTACATCTATGTAATTTGCATTAATATAGTCCGAATATTCGTTCCCATTGACCTTAGCTAGCTTCACTCTAGTGTGGTCATCTGTAAAAAAAATAAATATACTTTCAGAACAACGTGGCAGATCAGCAACAAACAGTACTCACATGCAATCAAGTTATTGTACCGATTTTTTGATTTATTAACTTTTAAAGCACCGTACTCCCATGGTTTTGTCTGGCCTCGAGGAAAATTCTAAAAAAAGTAAAAGTTAATTATTCTGCTGATGAAACAACTAAATAAATTGTAGACTTGATGATGTGAAAATGTGCTTTTACTACTACGAAATTGCAGTTTAAAGCTTTAACTAGACTTTTGTGGATCGTTAGCTTTTCGCAGAGTACTCATAAGATCTATTTATATTTAAATAAAAGTAATAACACTCTCAATTTAAAAATATTGGCAATAGAAACAAATTATAAACTTTTAGCTTAAATACAATTAAATATTACTACGCAATGATGTGTCAATGACTAGTGTGTTAATAAAAAACATTAAGACTTTTACCGTCACCTTTATTAAGAATAACAGCTTTAATTCTGACAGGCATTGTATCCACAAGTCTAGCGCACTCTTCAGATAGCGTGCTATTCCAAATTTCTTGCAATTTGATGCGTAGATCGTTAACTGAACGAGCTGGAGGTTTGCGTAACTGTTTTTTCATTTTATGCCACAATGTTTCTATTGGTAAGAGATTTGGACTGTTAGAGGGTTATTCCATAGCAGGAACATTATGTTTCTGTTACCAATATTTTTCTTTAATAAAATTGTTTTGACAGTGATACTAATTTTATTGAAATATAATATTAGTAGTATTGTAATTACATATATTTATATTGCTCTTACCTCATGCTGTTTCTCTAGCTCTCCTGTCTCAATCGCTCTTCTCACATATGATTCAAAATCAATAATCTTTACTGGTTCAGAAAATTTAGTTTTTAAGACGTATGAAGCAGGTAACTAAAAACATTTTATACTTTACTTTCAGCATTTGAAAACAATGAAAAAATCGACAAACAACTTCATATTGCTTTAGTTAGATCCATATTCATAGTATTAAAATTAAATATAAATTGTATTGATTTAAAATAAGAAATACCTATACTGTATGTTAACAACCAATTGTTTTTAACAGTGCTTTCGAATTTATAGTTACTTATTGTATAAGTGTTTTAAGTAGCATTTTATCTATACAGGGTGTCCCCAGTTTTGGTTGCCTATACCTGAAATGGATACAAAATTTCAATTGTCAAAAAAAATCATTGTTCATAAAAATTTTTGATTGTCCAGAAACTCTTGGCAAGATAGTCATTTGTTCAATTTAATGTACAGGGTGTTCAAAAATTTGGAAAAGGTAAAAACAGTGAAGAGTAAAGTACCTTAAATCTTAACGCTACGTGAAAAAGTAATGGGGAAAAGTTGCTTGGAATTAAATTTCATGTTTAAATCTGAAAGCATGGCCTTCTAGTTAATACTCGACATTCTGGGATATTCTATGACTCTACTTATTTTTTAATACTTTCGGAGAAGACATTCTATTTAGAAAATATTACTTTATTGAAAAACAGATACACATGTTTGCATATTAATAATTTATTTTTTATACAGGGGGATCAAAAACCTCAAAAACATTAATCCAACATTTATTTTGAGAACACAGCAGAATCAGTATGTACGCGCCATTACAAAACTATTCTACATGAAATTCGGCAAGTTCAACACACCTTCAATCTTTTTTAAATGCAGCGTAGGTCGAATGTATCATTTCTTCATTTACTTGGGCAATATCTTCAATTATCCTGCTTTTCAAGAAATCAACATTGTGTTGCATTGGTTCTCTGTACACTCTTTCTTTCAAGAAGCCCCAAAGGAAATATTCAAAATACCAATAATTTGTAGAAGGCAATTGTTATCAATAATTGTTTGACATTAGTTGTGACATTAGGTGTTGATATTTAATTTTATTCAAATAATGCTTACTTTACAGCATCGCATTTATCTTGTTAAATGTTACGGTATCGGTAACATTTCTTATAGCCAAGCAATTAATTGAATTGTTTCATGAAAAATATCCAGATGTTAAAGTTACCCGCCAAAATCTGAGAGAACTAATTCGAAAATTTGATTAAACTCGTGATGTAAAAAACGTAAAAAGGTCAAAAAAGAGACACGATGACGATAATGCAGCCACAATACTAGTTTTGAATGCGGTAGAAGAAAACCCGATATTGTCACTAAGGAAGATATCTAAACAAATCGATGTTAGCAGGACACATATTCAGAGGATTTTGGTAGAATATAAGTTTAAGGCTTTCAAACCTAAAGTAATTCACACTCTAGAAGTTGGTAATTATGCACATCGTTTGGAGTTTTGTTTAGAGATATGAAAAAGGATTGTGGTAGATAGACATTTTCACAAAAATATAATGTTTTCCGATGAAACCACTTTTTCTACCAATGGAGTGGTATCGTCGCAAAATTGTTGTTTTTGGTCGCAAGAAAATCCTTCCTTTACAGTTACTTCAAGAAGTCAAAAGTTCAAAAAAGTAAATGTTTGGTGCGCGATTACTTTCAACCGAATAATTGGGCCATACTTTTTTTAAGCAAATTTAAATCAATATACGTACCTGGAGATGCTAGACACGTTTTTCTGGCCAGAATTAGAAGAACATTTGGAATATAAACAAAAACCGTATTTCCAACAAGACGGATGTCCCGCTCACTCAACAATTCTAGTCCGCAATTGGCTTAACTGAAAATTTCGAGAGAAGTTGATAGGAAGATGTGGTCCTATTTGTTGGCCAGCAAGGTCCCTTGACTTGTCTCCGCTTGATTATTTCCTTTGGGGCTTCTTGAAAGAAAGAGTGTACAGAGAACCAGTGCAACACTGTGTTGATTTCTTGAAGGGCAGGATAATTGAAGCTGTTGCCCAAGTAAATGAAGAAATGATAATATATTCGACCTATGCAGCATTTAGAAGAAGATTGGAGAGGTGTTTTGAATTTGGCGGACTTCATGTAGAATAGTTTTGTAATGGCGCGTACATACTGATTCTGCTGTGTTCTCAAAATAAATGTTGGATTAATGTTTTTGAGGTTTTTGATCCCCCTGTATAAAAAATAAGTTATTAATATGCAACATGCGTATCTGTTTTTCAATAAAGTAATATTTTTTAAATAGAATGGCTTCTCCGAAAGTATTAAAAAATAAGTAGAGTCCTAGAATATCCCAGAATGTCGAGTATTAACTAGAAGGCCATGCTTTCACATTTAAACATTTTTAATTCCAAACAACTTTTCCCCATTACTTTTTCACGTAGCATTAAGATTTAAGGTACTTTACTCTTCACTGTTTTTACTTTTTCCAAATTTTTGAACACCCTGTACATTAAATTGAACAAATGACTATCTTGCCAAGGGATTCTGGACAAGCAAAAATTTTTATGAAGAATGATTTTTTTTGACAATTGAAATTTTGTATCCATTTCAGGTATAGGCAACCCGAACTGGGGACACCCTGTATATTCTTAAGTAGATTAAAGTCAATTAAAACACGAATATAATACAACGTTTTATGCATAATCACATCAACATCATATTTGTGGAATCAGAATTATCGGAATTTAATAAAAAAGTATTCGCACGACTTGATATTTCTTACTAGTAGGTACCCAATGTTATACCTACTAATTGCTGTGGTAAGTTGTTTGTTATCAATTATTTAATAAACAGTTCTATCTGAATTTGGTAAAAATGCAAGAAAGTAATTGTGTTTTTGTGGCTGTTTTTGAAGAAGCTCAAGAAGCAATTTTTCATGTATTGCTAGCGAAATCCATTAAACAGTACCAAAAAGTGTGCCGAATTTAACGAACGGAGGAAAGAACGGAGAGTAATAACAATAAATGAAGAAGTCATGCTACCGTATTTTTTATATTTGAAGAAAAAATATACAATTTCATCTATGTGGTCACGAAGTATTTGATGCTGAAGGTTACTATAAAGGTCTACAAATATATAGATAGTTTATAACAAGTTTACTGCTTATTTGAAGAGTGAATCGAGAGGATACAAAGCAAAAAAAGCTGCAGTATTATAAAGAGTACATATTGAAGAATTTTTTACTGGGGCTTTCGATGAAGAATATTTAATGATTTTTTACCTTTTATATGTCGGAGTCGTAGGGCTAACTTGGGCGTTAATATCACTACTCGTGTCACTCATCTTCACGAAATAATAAGTAATACGGTAAATGAAATGATTTAAAATAAAACGTTACAAATAAAGTACTCGAGGCATATGAGGCTTATGACAACAACCAGAGGCCCAATAACGAATCCACGGTCAACAGAATAGCAGTGTACTCAAGTCTTCAATGCTCAAGTAGAACTGCCTTCAGTAATCTCTCTGTACTTTTTTTCACTCGTCAGGTCAAAATTATTCTTAAATGAACCAATCAAATTCGTTATATCCTAGGGATTCCCTTATAAAGTAATTTTAAGGTAAATGCTATCTATCCTTTGACCGCGGCTACGTTGAGTGACCCGTAAGTCCCTCCAAACCCAAGCTTGCCATCATAAAACTCGGGAATAACATAACCGGCTTAATTTCACAAAATTCTAAGTTTTATGGTCTAAGTACAATTTATAAGGGCATTCCCTGAGTAAAGAATTCTGGAATTTCCAAAGTCTGAATGACTCGGCCTGTGAGAAAGACATCTCCGACATATTTATGTCCTCAAACAATGTTATTATATTGATGGTAAATTTCGTTTTGTTCCGCTTCAAAAGGTCTCCAAAAGGCCATGTTGTAATAGTACTAGTAAACAAAATATCCCTCCAATTTCTCCCTTTCGCAATTGTCATATGAATGATTAACAGAAGGTGCCTATAATATATTAAAATTACCTGAATCACACCAAATTCCGCATTGCTGCACTGCACCTGCTAGACCATTTGCCGACAACTGAATTTATGATCAGGCTGTGTTTGTGCCGCGTTTGCCCGCGCGCTCATTCTTCAACTGGGCGACTAGCTCTGTATATAGGTATGGCTAAATAAAAATGGGAACAAGTTGTTCAAATATTTCAATGCCAAGTTGCTGCGTCAACGACTGAACCTGGTACATACTGCCAACCTCTTGGTTCCGAAATTGAGATCAGAGAGAATATAATACTAGAAACTTCTCACATATTTTTTCCTAATGTTCATCCTAACAAGCATATCGGGTCCCAAATACTAGAATCCCAAAATTGGAGGCAGTAACGAAACACGTAAATCGTGCAGAACGCGATTCCAGTGACGTATCATTTTAAAGATA